CTAAAAAAGTGAATTTAATGAATATCTTTAAAACAAAATAAATGTGTTCTTTAAACTTTTAATAATCACATGAGTGCTTTAACTAGGTAACTTTGCGTTATCTTTTTACCTTTTCCGGTTGTCGCAACGGTTTTTTGAGGCATAGAATTGCGTTCGAAAGATATGGAATAAGGTTGTCGTTCACCAATGGTGGTTGTTGTATTATCTGCCATTGTCGTTTGTCGATTCATTGCCTTACTTCGTTCATTTGACTTATTATTTTGAGGCTGTGTTCTAGCTTGACTTTCACTTGTGGTTTTACTTGTGCCTATGCCACCACTGAGTGAACGAGATCTTGATTTTGATTTGGATTTCCTGTATTTATCCACAACAACAACACTATCAACGTTAGGTGTTGTGGCCAAGGAAAACCGAATTTCCGTTCGTCGTTTTCTTTTTTTCATTTGATAGTATGCTTTTAATTTTTTATAGCCTACTAGAAAAATAAGGATGATAATTCCTGCCGCAACAAATGTAGACATGTATATGATGAATGTTAAAAGCCAATTTCGCCAGTTTGATTTGAATACATCACATTCGGGCGAATTTCCATCATTATCAATGGTGACCACATGTTTATGATAGCATTCGGGCTCAATTTTACATGGATGTTTTTTAATATAAACACACCAAACGTCATTATTATTTCCACCTTGACAACGTTTTTCTAAACATTGACACATGAAATATTCACTACAACATCGCAAAAGAATGACTGATCCAGGTTGTCCCGCCATTATATTATTACGTTCATTATCACATGTTACATTCAACATGGCAGCAGCAATCACCTTGTTCACCATCTTGAAAGTAAACAACAAGATTATTACGAATCGAATTAGTGATTCCATTAATCAATCAATTGATCGGTCGATCGATTCTTAACATTTATTTTTTTTAAACGAGCGTTCTATTTATACCAAAAAAATAATAATAATTTTATTCATTTTTGAAATCATAATTGAATCAGTTATTATTCTATTTTTATGTACTACCCTCCACAGATGTCAGTAATGATTGAACAGAAAATTGTCCTTTGACAGTAAGTTGCTAGCAGCAATGTGAAATAGTATAAAGCAATTCGAATTCGATCGGATTCGGTCAACAAGTGGTTGGATTGTATACAATTGGATCGTATACGAATTGGCAAATTGTCTCATTGTTTGCATGTTTATATATGAATCAACTAGCATTGCAAGCCATTGGCCATTGGCTTCGTCTACTAAGTAGACGAAGTCTAGCTTAGTCATAAGGCCAAGTCCAATGCAAGCCAGCCATTTGTTTATGTAAAAATCAAAAGATCCTTATAAATAAAAAATGCAAGCCATCCATTTTTCGAGCATGCGCATTGAAATAGAAAAAAGTGTTTCGTCTCAGCCAGCCAGCCAGTCAGTGTTTTACTTTTTTATGTTATTAGATTTCAACTATATTACAAAGTGAGCGCATTTTTTTGGAACTATATTACAAAAACATTAAGCCGAATTTGATCATCGCGACACAATAAACCAGCTGTTTTTTTCAAAGAATGAATTTCTCTTGCTCGCTAAAGCGTAACGTAAAATAAAATGAAATGAAAACGACAATCACAACAATCGTCTTGTTCATGTTTTATTTGCTATAACATTTCGGCCATCAAACGCAATCGGTTTATCAATCTCTCGTGATTTTTTTTCAACGATCCATAAGTAAGTAAACATGCCTTGCATTTTCCTTAAGATTATTATTTTGATAACATTTCGAAAGTTTTTAGGATTTAATTCAATTTTCGATAAATTTTGGTACCATCTAAATATTATGGGCCAACATAAAAGTTTTATCATAGTAAGTTATGTAAATTCCAATTTTTGCGCTTCATCATCAGTCATAACAGTCAGTCGTAAATCATCTTCATCGATTTAGTTATTAATTAATGATCGAAAAAATCGCTCATGTCGTCTTTAACAAACAATTGCAAGATCATGCGCCCTGATATCAACATCGATATTTCATCGCACGAACAATTTGGCGGCATTGGTGGTGGTTGTATAATGCCATTTCAATGTCATAATATCAATTTAGAACAACAACATAGTCAGCAGCAGCCATATCGAAGTACCACGGTGACCGATTGTCATAAAGATGATGATGATGACTGTGAAGATCTTTTCATGATCGCGTTGAGCGAACAACCAGATCATAGAAATTCCTCGCCTAACTTATTAAAAGTTCGTTCGAAAATAATCACATTATCTAGTAATCATAATTGTGATGAAAATAAACATTCTACGATTATGATGAATATCAAGTCATCATCACGGCAACCATTCAAAAGCAGCGGTGGTGGTAGTTCTACAACAAGTGGATGTTCCACGCAAAGTTCATCATCATCATCAGTATCGATGCCTTCAGCATTACAATTGTTTCGCAATCAATCAGCTACGAATATGCTTGTTAACAGCGATGATCATATCCATTTTCCCGCCAACAATAATAGAATAGATGTTGTGGAAACAAAAGATGAGATATCACCTAATTTATCATCACGGGCATCTAGGCGTCATTATTCATTAACTCCATCATCAAGCACATCATTATCTTCATCATCGATTACATCTTCGCCATCACCTTCGATTCGTCCGTCGGAAACACAGTGGGAAAAGATTGGTCATTTTATCGAATCCTACGAGCAAAGTTTACTGTAAGTATTGTGTTGATTTTTTTTCAATTTCCTGATTAATATTTCCCATATTCGGTGTTTGACAATTGTCATGTTTTTTTTCATAATAGTCAATGTTTATCCAGCATTCAACAACAATGGATACATCAACAATCATCGACTAGTCACACAATAAATAACAACAATCATGGCATCAATGATTGTGATGATAATGATCATCATCATGATGCTGACGAAAGTCAGGATGTTAATGACGAAGATCTTTTTCAATCAACATCATCAAATGGTTTTAATAATAGTTATAAAAATAGTGATCGCATCAATCATAGTATCCCTACTCTACAACAATCCAACAAAAGCAATGTTAACATAAAATCATTGACATCATTACCTAATGATGATAGTAGCAACATTAAAAAAAAGTCATGTTATATTGTTAAAAAACCAAGCACCAATAAATTAGTTATCGCTGCTGATTCCTCATATACATATCGATTGCAATTACGTAGTTGGATTCAAATACAATTGGATAAAGTTGTCCATCTTCGAGAACAATACGAACATGGAAAGCACTGTCAAGAAGCATTGGTCAAAATGGCCAAATTATCCACACATAGTGGCAGTAATAGATGTCGAAAAAATTGCTATCGTGAATGGCGCTCGAATGAACGAATGCTACAATCATTGGCCAACAGGTTGCAATTGATGATTGGTTCATTTGAAATTCGTGTCGAAGACATTGAAGGTTGGGCTCGTATATGTCCGGGTGATTATTATGAGTTGGAATTCCGTCATGGACAACAACGGCAAATTTTGCGTGTCAAAATTGTTGGTAGCCAATTACAAAGAATATGGGACTTGGACCGTAACATCATTAGATTTCATGCTGCCCTTCAATCACACATTACTTGCAAGATAAAAGAAATGAAATCTGGATTGTGGAGGTCTTTAGCAGTTTGGCCATCAAAATATCGTTATGTCGACATTGGTACAACTTCGATTTCGTTGACAGAGTTATTCCAATCAGTAGCCGAACAATGTCCCTTGCTGGTTGATTGTAATCCAAGTGGATCTCTTAAATTACGGCTAAATTGTCACTGGAATCCAAGTTGTCAAGATGAAATCAACATTGATATTTTTGAAAAAGAGTCTACAACACGTAGATCTAACCTTCGAATTCTTTCTTCATCATCAGTTCATTCGATTGAAAGTAATTCCTGTATGGTTAATTCTGAAAAGCCTGTTTCAATGATGAAACGAAAGTCTAGTGATCAAGTGGAACATCAGCGACAACAAAAAGAGTCATTCGGTATAAATCGAAATCTAGCTCGTTCATTACTATCTTTGCCAACATTCAATTCTTCATTAGATTTGGGTGATGCTTCAAGCACACTTCCTCTTCGAATAAAAACCATTGAATCTAATCATCATACAGATGGCGTCGATGTTTTCGATAAGAGCGATTGTATTTCGAGCTCAGGTTCATTGTCACATTATGCTTTGAAGCCTTGCTCACGAACATCATCAGTTTCTACATCCCCTTGTTCGAATGAAGTAAATAATCATTTGGAATCAATGGTAGTGATGCTGCAAACGTTAAAAACCTTATTACAAGATCATTATGGTCAATCAATTGAAATCACAATCCTGTCACAAACAGTTGCACGATTGATTACTTTGTATGAACGATTGATGACAAAACTAACTACAACTCAACAATTCAATCTTTCTAACAAAGGGCATTTTAATGATTTACTCCGTGTTAATGATAACAAATGTTTTTCTCATGATCAGCATCAAACAAACGAGTTTATTGAACAAGCTTTCGAATTTCTCGATCAATCGGACTTTGATGACCATGATAATTATAAAAGACAAACCCGTATTCGAGCTTCATTTGATTCGAATGAATGCGGTCTATTAAATAGGTCACATCAACCGCCGATTTCAGAATCTTTACTAGATTGCCAGAATGATCACGTTGAAATTAATGAAATGATTTCTCAATGGAATAGATTACTCACTATCCACATTGAATCAGCCACCAAACAACTTCTAAATGTTGGAACTTGGATTTTGAAATCAAGAGAACAATGTGCATTTCTTCGTTTACAAGCCGATACATTTGCTATGGAACAAATTTACTTAATTTTATTGTTTATTCTCAAAAACTGCAATCGGAATCAGAATTTCAAGTTGCCTAACAATCAACCTTTTGGTATGATTTACCTAGTGTATTTATTTGAACAGTTTAATTGCTTATTTTTTTTATTACACATAGGTCAAGATAGCCGAGTTTTGGAATTAGTTAGATATCTTTGTCCATCGAATAATGATTATTCTTTGGTCTTTACATTTGATCAATTTTTTCAAATCTTATTGTCGGTGATGCGAATTCACATTTTGATAAATGAAGCAGGCATCAATGATTTTGAAAAAATAGATACTTTATTCCAAAACTCAACTCAATGGTTGGCATCATCGATATTTTCCTGTGGAAGCAGTTGTTTCTATTTATTTGGCAGCCAAAAACAGCCATCAGAAACTGATTTGATTACCATATTTCATGTTCGTGCATTTTTTGAATTGAATCTTTATAATAATCATAATTACCACCATTTCTATTATCGTCATTCAAAAAATAATGTCTCAATGAAGCAAATCCGAACGCATCCAATTCATTTGGCTGATTTTTTTCACACAGCTTTTGATCTGAATTGTTTAATTGCCAAAATACGTACAAGAAAATGGCCTTTGTTGAATGTTGAAGCGATTTTGTTCAAAAGGTTTAGTCCACGCTGTGAATGGCTACCGCCAGATTTAACATTGCTTTTGTTCAATCTTATTCATGAACATCATTGTATTCACGAATCTATTGCTCGTAAAAATTGTATCTCAAACAGTAATCATGAATCATCTCTTTTTAATTCGGCACGATCTCTTGGTGATGTTAAAAAATCTGATCGTTTACGCGAATTATCACGCTTAATCAATCAATGGTTAATGTGGCAATGTCAACAATCACGATTCGAGGTATAATCATTCATTCTCTAATTCGATTTTACTAATTAGTTTTTTCTTATATATTCTAGGTTCGTGAACATATACTTATTGGATTGGAATGTTCATGTCCATTCACTCGCCAAGCATCTTGCTATGGTATAATGCATCTTTTTCGTCTTATGCAACGAATTCAATCTACTAACCTGACATCATCAATGACTATGAAAGTATTTTATGGCAAAGAGTTGGATTGTCTTCTGTACCTGTCAATGGAGGATGCTGATAGTCGAGTACGTGATGAGGCTAAAAAATCACTCCAATACTTGAGCTCCGTATTGGGCAAAAAACTGGAAAGTGACCAAATGTCTTTCGTTTCACCCGGAAGCTTCCCTAACAGAAAAGCTAACATTAATGATTGTCCAACATCACAACCGTCAAGAAATTCACCCTCACAACCAATTTCGATGTTCAGAAATAGTCATAGTTGGATTACTAAGCATACGAAGCCTACAGTAGTAGCAAATTCAATTCTGCGAACTAGTATGCCTGATTTGTCCAGTCTTGCTTTCGATCTGGAATCGATCCAATTAAAATGACATTGAAAATTCTATTAATAAAATTGATTGATTGTTAATTTTTTTTCTCTTATCATAAACATGAATCTAGCCATTCTTTGATTGATATAATTTATCATTTATAAATGTCAAATAATGAATTATCTTTTTTATTCAATAAAAGTTGTTCTCTATTGTGTCCACATTTTGATTGTTTTGTTGATTCATTGATTTGAAATCAACAAATTTTAACTCCCAATAAAAGCAATTATTTAGAAATAGAAATTATTGTTTCTGTCTCTTATCACAATTCAACATTGAATACAATGGAATTTGATAAGGATTTTAGTATTGAATATCTTTTCCATAATATGAATCATGATCATTTTTTCTCAAACGATTGTTTTTGATTCAATTTCCACGGCATTATTAGCTATAAAATGATTGTTTAGAACTCATTCATGTTATTGTATTCCAATATCTCACAAACCAATGAACACGAAATGTTATACAAATACTTTTTTCTATCATTGACTTTGGCATTATTAGCCATCAATGCAGGTAATTTATTCATTTAATTCATAATTTCTTCAATCTATTGATCGATTAATATTTTTTCAGAACCAACTGAATCCACGGCCGAAACTACTACAGAATCGTCCAATCATTTATTCATTGAAAAAATTGAGAATGCTCTTAATAGAGCAAAGAATCTTCTAAACTCGCAGGACATCAATCCACATATTGCGAAAAAAATTAAAGATTTAATCGAAGAAATTGAACAATATGAAGAAAAATACCTGAAATCCCATGATAATGAGTCTATAAAAACACACATTAATGCTAAAATTAAAGAGTTAATGAAAAATTTAAATAAATATCCATTACCGACTTCATCGAAGCCCAAAACAACAACTACGGAAAAACCGACCAAATCAACATCCACATCAACGGAAAAACCAACCAAACCAACGTCAGCAACTACGGAAAAACCGACCAAACCAACGAGTACAACGACGAAAGAACCGACCAAATCAACATCCACATCAACGGAAAAACCGACCAAATCAACGTCAACAACTACGGAAAAACCGATCAAACCAACGTCAACGGAAAAACCGACCAAATCAACAAATGCAACAACGGAAAAACCGACCGAGCCAACGTCAACAACTACGGAAAAACCAAAACCAATTCTCAATGAATGTCCAGAATATAACGAAATTGGTCAGTGTAATTGTTATCCTGAATCAAAGACAATAATTTGCACAGATTTCAATCAAACATTCATTACGAATTCATATAATTTTTCAACATTTATAATTCAGGACAACAAAGAGGTAGAACTAAAATGGCCTGATAATGTATATATTCGTGTGAAAAACCTTATCATACATAGATGTAACTTCAAAAAAATCGATCCTCAAATATTAAATATTAATGGATTAAAAACTTTGACTATAAACGATATACCTCAACTATATTTGAATATCAGTATGATAAATACAGAATTATCTAAGTTAATAATCATCAACATTTCTCGCATCGAACAAATAAATGCATTGGAGAAACTAAATAGTCTTCAAGAATTGATGATCAAAAGCGTGACCGGTTTTCAGGCAATCAGTCAGTCTGAATCACTATCATTTCCTTTGATACGATATGTGACCATTATCGATACTGATGTGAAGGAAAATTTCAAGCTAAAAGTAGGAAAAGATTGTCAAGAAATAATTATCGAAAAAAATAATCAATTAAAATGGTTAGATATAACGGATTTAAAAACAAAAAATAATATGACCATAACTATCAAATTATCAGATAATCGAAATTTGAATCCAAAATTTCTTCTTGATTTTAGTAATATTTTCAATCAATCTCGACTAGCTGATCAGAATTTAACAATGACAATACGTATGAATCATGTACCTGTTTATTGTGACGATTGTCGATTATACAAATTAACGGCTACCAATTCAAGATTACGATTGTTAGATGTATTTTGTAAAAATGAAAACGAATATCTTAAATATCTTAAATTTAAATGTGAAAGATAATAATTTCATTTAATTCGAATGGTAATCTATCAATTTATTTTTGGGATGTTTTTTTCAAAATTTCTGCCTACAGCATTGAAATGAATTATCACAATGGTGTGAATCATCTATCTATCCGCAAGTATTGCAAACAAACACACCTACACAAATACAGACACACACACACACACACATTACACATTACATATATAATCGAACAAACCACCCACAGACAATTTGTATATGTATATTTACATAAGAGGAGCCACATTGTTTTTAAATTTACTTGGCTTCAACATTCATGATGATGATGATGATGATGAGTGCCAATCATAATAAAATAAAAACTTTTTCTTTTGTTTGCTCATCGATCCTGTCAAATGTCGAACATTTCAGCTAATTTTCATGAAATGTTCTATTGCCATCATTGATGATGATGATGATGATTGCGGTCTGATCGAAAGATCAGATGCAATGATGATGATGATGATGATGAACAATGTAAATAATGATCTGCCCTCCGAAATTTTTTGCGGTTCAGTTTTGTTTTGTTGTTGTTGTTGTTTTTTTTTTGGTCGGCTTTTTGATGATGCGGCCAATAAAACGGCAGTTTGATGGCCCCGAACATAATGTAAACAACATTTAAATCAAGTTATTTGAATATATGCTATTTTGTTTTATTGTTTTCATTGAAACCATATGTATAAATCATCATTATCGAATTTCTTCAGATTATTTTTGTTCTTCTTCAACATTCGTAACAAATTAACGTATCTTGACCGATCAATCTTCAAAGATGAATGGCCAATCGATAAAGTTTGCCATTGTTTTTCACTAAATCCAAACACTATGAATAATATTAGATGGAACTAACAAAATATAGTTGAGGTTTCTTAAGTCAATATTGTAGACAACCATAGATATAGTATCAGGTATCGAATGAAATGCAACCCTTAGTATCAAATAAAAACAAAATGGATTTCATTAGATGTGCTATGGATAGAAAAGATTCCTATATATAGAGCTATTGTGCAAAAAAAAATCAGACATTAATTCCATACATTTGTCATGATCAATCCTGTCACAAGATTTATTTTTTTTTTCGTTTGATCCGATTTTCTAAAAAAAGATAGATTTAAAACAAATGTTTAAAATTTGAGCTTTTAATGTCAATTTCTTAAACAATCATTCGAGTTAATGTCACTCAAATCAACCATTTTGATTCAGTAAGCAGTGAACATGACAAAAAAAAAGTTGATTGAGAAAGAAAATTCTTGATGAACACATCTGTGGTTTTTGATCATTGATCCACTCATGAACCATAAACTGTTTATGAGTGGTACCATTTCGGTAATTTGATTAAATTTTTCTCTGAGGCGTCAGCAGTATCGATCGGCTTTTTTTACCCATTATAGATTCAATTTAGTTTTCATCGAAAATCTATTTGTTTGCGTATTATGATGCAAGTTGATGAAAACAGAATAGCAAAAAACAAAACAAAAATAACAACACTATGAATGATTCTAGTCAGGCACAAAATCTCATCATAGATCATCAAAGATTTTTGTGGATGCCAGCACTTACAAATTCTGCATTTTAGAATCGGGTAACAATGCTGCTACTTTTGTTACCACTAATGAAACAATCAACGCCCGTATCAAAGTATCAACATATGAATAGGCAGAATAATTCATCATGAATGCATTTGAAGAAGGCGGTACCATGTTAGATTCAATCTGTATAATGGACAGTTAGCCAAAAATTGTTCAAGGCAGAGCATGTGTGTGATACAATTTGTAACTTATATAACATCAATGTAGTGGTGGTCAAAATAAACAAAAGTGAAACAATTTCATTCGGTTCGTTTTTGTTGTTGTTGTTTTTTTTTTGTTGCAAATTGCCAAGTTACATCCTCTTTATTTTTTTTTGTGTCAGTTTGTATGGATGTTTGTAACGAAATTACAATGTTCATCCATAGCAAATGAACCTCCTTATTTGTAACATTGTTTAATACTTTTAAAGCTCCTCCTCTTTATTTTTTTTCATTTTGAATTGAAATGAATCAAAATGATTATGAATTGGTTAGATAGATTTTGAGCTGGTTCAAGTGAATCAAAATTCAAGTTATGAAGTTGTGAACGAGAGAAAAAAACAAAAGAACAGAAAAAAGCGAAAAATATCAAAATCGTTGAAAGAAGAAACTTGCAAAAAAAATTAAATTCATTTTGTTACCTTTGTCGTCAGTGCAGAAAATACATTTCAATTTGCTACACAACACGATCAAACATTATTGTTGTTAAGCTTTTATCAACTTTAAGTAGTGATTTATAAAAGAATCGACTATTTCATCAAAGATTCACGAAAAATGTTACGTATGACTCCGGAAACACAACTGAGTAATAATATTGATTATAAGCTTCGAATGCCATCGCCACCATTATCAAATGATGAAGAAGATGAAGAAGTCGAAGTGGATGATAGATTGCAATCTATTAATGCAGTGCAAATGGAATCTTCTATAAACATCGATAGTGAACATGATGAGGATGAACTTGACGATGGTGATGATGGTGATGATGATGATGAAGGTGACGACGACGACGACGACGACGATCATGATAATGATGCTGATTCTGAAAACGCAACTAATATTTCTAAATCTCGTAAAAATCGGCGTAAATCAGCTAAACAGATTGATAATAATAGTGGCCTTCGTAAACCTAAATGTGCACGTTGTCGTAATCATGGAATGATTTCCTGGCTCAAAGGTCATAAACGACATTGTCATTTCAAGGATTGCCGCTGTGCTAAATGTAATTTGATAGCCGAACGACAACGAATAATGGCTGCCCAGGTTGCTCTCAAAAGGCGACAAGCAGCCGAAGATGCAATAGCTATCGGATTACGAGCAATGGCAACCGGTGCACCGTCCGTCAATGGCTATTTACCACAAGGACCAATATTTGGTTTAGAAATAACAGAACCAGAAACGAAAAGATCTAAATATTGTCAAGATTCAACTCCACCCCCGGAGAATAAAGAATCGGAAATAGCCGCTACTGTTTCGATTGTCTCAAAACCCTGTGTCGAGAAGAATAAACAGCCATCACCAACAATAACATCAAAAGGCAATGGTAAACGGACTGCAATTAAAGGTCAATCTGGCAAATCAGGCTATGCTCGATGCTCAAAATCTGATTCGATTATTGGTCAACAAGATGAACTAATGACAACCGGTATTGTTACACCTGTTAATCGAGCTAAATTATTAGATGCAAATCTAGCACTATTAACCGATGCTGCTGAGGATTACCGTTCTGGAAGAGCATCACCCCTGTCAACATTGACTCGTCTATTTCCGGAACAAAAACGTCAAGTCATTGAACTAGTATGGCAAGCGACAGAACAATCAATGATTAAATCGATAGAACATTTTTTATCGATAGATGAAGCAGCCGCATTAAAAAAGAATTTAATGCAAAAAGATCATAATCTCAAGAGTTTGTTCTGCAAACATCAGACCAAACAACAAGCAACAACAACATCACCATCACCATCAATCACTGAACAAAAACAACAACAACAAAAATGTAATCATCAATTATCATCTCGAATTACAATCGGCAGTGGTACAAATCAGGCAAATCATCCCAATCGACAACAACAACAACAACAATCAAATCAATCATCCTCTTATAGTTCAGATTTAATAAATCATCAAACAATGTACTCGTCATTACCTTATGACTACAATAAAGCAGCCGCATTCTACAATCATCCATCATGGAATGCTCATCTTATACCACCTTCATCACAAACAATTTCAACATCGCCGATAACTGCATCAATTCCAACTCGAACAACAACAACAGCACTGCCATCATCATTGTTGTTATCAAGTCATACAACACTTCCATTACATGGTCACAATAATCAACATCATCATCAACTTCATTCATTTCCTTTTAATCCAATGTTCAGTAGTCCGTTCCTTCCGTTTCCTATGAATACGGCAACTATTCCAGTCAATTTGTTACCACCATTGCCTCAATCATTATCATCAATGGATACGAATCGCCATCAGCATCATAACGATTTATGTTTAAATTGTGACGATTCTTCCAATTCTTCTTCATCACCATTATCGAAAACAGGCAATAAAAAATCGCCAACAACCATATCATTTGTACCACCGGTTTTATCACAAAATATGATTGGGCCAACAACAACTTTATATGGCATAACTCCCATTGTTACACAATCTAACTGTAGCAAACTCGGAGCTAGATATTCTTCTAGATCTACATCGACATCAGCAAGTAATGAACGGACATTTGCTGCGTTTGCTGGTCCAAGTTCAATGATCTCTTCTGCTGCTGGTGGTCTAATGAATTCTGCAAATTCAACATCACCTACCTCATTGTCTCGATCATGTGGACAGTTATTAACAACAATGCCATCATCGATTATGATGCCAATGTCACAAACAGCCGGATCATTGTTACCGTTGATGAACGAATCATCACAATCATCGTCTCCGATACTATCGACCAACACGAATTTACCAGTCATGAATCATTTATTGTTTGATCCATTTCATCGTCATTTGAATAAAACACAACAATCAAAGATTATGATTGATACATTTCGTTCCAATCGTTCATCAAACGAAATTAATAATTTAGATGCTGTTGATTTGACCACAACAGTTTCATCATCACCATCAACATAAATTTATATTTTTGTTTTTTTTATCCATCTGAATTTCTTGTTTTTAATTAATTAATTCATTCAAACTTATTTCTTTGAAGATTATTACTAACCCGTTTGGCATTAAATATTCAATTATTATTTAAATTTCATATCAATATGAAATGCATAAATCAGTTTGATCAATTTATGATGAGATTGATTGCGGCCAAAAACTATCATACATCTATCGAAGCAATCATTTTCGATTGTGAACAAAAATCCCGAATTTTGATTTGATTCATTGAATCAATATTTACATTGTGAATTGCTTGAAAACGAACAGCAGCCAAGCCACTACATACGTATATATAAGTTAAAGTTGGTGTTTGATCTGACTACATTAGTTAGTTAATAGGCCAGCTTGCACCATTTTAATTCGATTGTTGATACCCGAGATTTTTCTTCTTCTTCTTCCAGAATTGTATTTAGCTTTTCACTTCTCTCAATTTATTTGTGTGTTTGATCCGACAAGAATCCAATTAGCATTGTTTATATATCTGAATGTGTATGTAAATAATTCAAGCTCCGCCTTTTTGATGTTTTTTTTTGCTGGCAAAGCTTTTGGGATACTTTTCAAAATTTTCCGTATATGTGTGATATAGACAAATTATGACCACATCGTTTTGTGACACAGGTGTAGCCTTTGGTCGATTGGAGCCAATTGGCCCACCAGCTACGAATCATTTTACGAACATGTTGGCGAACTGTTCGCAGGTGGCCACAAACATTATATGGTCTTGTTTTTTTCTGACAAAAAAAAATGTTTGTCATCCAATACACGAACCACTTACTTGGTGGCCCTTGTGAATATATTTATTATGTATAAATTGTATATATGTTGGATTCGTGATCCATGGTAATCAAATAGAAAAAGTAAAATAAAAAAGAAGAGCTCTTAACATAACATATCTGTTAATTTGTAATGTCAACACATAACGAAAGCGAAAGATAGAAAGACTACACAAAATAGACCTGTCTGTGTGTTTGGGTCAATTTGTTCATTTTGTTGTCCTATCTCAATTTATCTTTATCTCTCTCACTTGAAACCGACATTTCAAGTGGTGATGAAGATGAGTTAAATCAAATTGGCCCATTCAAAGAATCAGGTGGGATTGCCTAAGGTGATGATAATGATGATGATGATGATGATGATGTGGACCACCTTGGCTGCTCATTTCTACATCCTAAAATCCATTCTATCATGCAATATAACCAATCTGTACAACGGCACCAAATAGTTTTTTTTGTGTCATGGGAACCTTTTTCTTGGCCTATTTGTTTTACATTAGTTGATTATTGGTTATAAAAAAAAGTTTGTCTTGGACATAGTTCCATTTTTTTCATTTCATATGTCGAACAAGAACATTCCTATATTTGATTCGTTAGTTTTATGACATGAATGAATCAATGAATGACACTAATCTGACAACTAAATTTGAAGTTAGTTAACACATGTTATGTTCAAATATAATTCATATTCGATTGAACTCTCTTTACAATCTTACAGTAGGATTATATCCGGATTAGATTTTAGCGATGGTCATAGGCTTTACAGATATGGTTAATCATGAAATTATCATATTTATGTGACGAATTGACATGATAAACACAACGTGTGTGTCCAATATTCATTTGAAATACTTCATTAGTTTGAGGATTTATTTATCACAAGAAACATGTCACAATTCATTTAAACAGAATCAAGATGATGACAATAAATAGAATGTTAAGCATTTTTGAACCACAATACAATATATTCTTTTTGCTTAATGCACACAGTAACTCTAATTTGATAACATTCGAATTTTAATTCAAATTCACGTCTGTTGTCGCCACCTGTTGTCGATTGATATGAACATAATGGCCAACATCAATTGGGTCACATTATCCATAATGATGATACAATCGTGATATTGACTTGACAAACTATAGTCTCGTATCATCAACAGATATTTTGTGAGAAAAAAAAATGGGAGAGAATAGAGCCAAACAATTAGAATATAATTCATCATTATTATACATGTTATTGTATTGTATCCGTTAGTTATGATTGTCACCATCATCATGGTTTTTATGTTATCTTTTTACTTCCGGATCATTTATCTTTTGATGTGAATTCAATTTTGTGTAATATCATAACATAATTATTGATGTGAATATATTGTGGATGAATGATTTTATTTTTTATTGCTGAAAAACAAACAACAAATAAAAAGTGAAATAGAAATAGAATCCAAATGACAAATGAATTGATAATTTTATAATGACATATAAATGGTGATTTATGATTGGGTTTATATCTAAAGATTCAAAGAATGAAGAATTATCCATTATGTTTAATATTGCTAGCTAATGCTTTCATATGTTCTTCACGTCCCCAGACTGAGCAGAATATATTCGCTTCAATTTCCAATGCCTTTTCGGTGGGAATATTACAAAGTCCAGTAGCTGCAATCGATTTGATTGCACGCGATGCAAACGAACTGATTGAACCAAATTCAGTACGATACCATCGTTTGGTAGCTTCCAGTGCTTCCTCTCCTCGTATACCGGGCTCAAGCACATGTTGTACAAGGCCCGTTTCGTAAGCCGTTTGTGCATCGATCAATTTGGCTGATAACATTAATTGTAGAGCTTTACAAGAACCGACTAAACGTATCAAACGAGTGCCGCCACCAAAGCCAGGTGTAACGCCCAGCCGTGCGTGAACAAATCCGATACGAGCATCATGAACAGCGACACGAAAATCACAAGCGGTTATTATTTCGGCTCCCCCGCCTAGTGCTTTTCCTTCGATCAAAGCAACTGAAACCAAAGGGAGTCGTTCGAATCGTGTCAAATTTGAATGCATCAATCGGGAAATGAAATGGGCTCCACATTGATCGGACAAATTATTTTGACGAATAGTTTTTAGATCGGCACCCGAACAGAAAAAATTATCCGCTCCATGAACGATGATAAATTGACCCTATTGATTGAAATAAACCATATTAATATGGCTAATTTTGTTGTCAATCTTACCTTGTCCCAACGTTCTAATTGATCGAGCAAATCTGAGAATTGAGCCATCATGTAACCGGAAAAAGCATTTTTACGTTGTGGACTATTTATGCATAAGATGGCAATTCCTGATGAATCATCCATACTTAATTCTAGCCGCCCGTTACTGTTTGGGTCGCATTGCCGTAATTGTTCTCGAATATGTTCGATGCTTAAATCAGGTAATCGTGATATCATATCGTTTTCCAATGTAGACGAGTCATCAGACATTTTAATATTACTATTGTGATGGCCGTTCTTGAGTATGTGAGTACCATTGTTAATTATATTGTTATTCACGTTGGCCTTATAATTTGATGATGATGATGAGGAAGACGACATTTTACGACAAAAATAAAGACCAGTTTGTAATGGTTTGATGACGAATTGTGAGCTACTAAACCGATGTACACTATTCAACAAAGTCCGTTCTGGACGATGAGGAGAATTTCGAAAAGTGTTTGTAATGACGGATGAAAGTTTGCTTTGGAAATTTTTTCGTAAACACCAACCACAAATTGAATCGATTATTTGATGTTGATAAAGCTGCTGGGCTGGCAAACCATAAGATAATTTGCAATACAACGGCATGTCCAATTAAATACACTACTACTCATTGGCCAGCACATACACACACAAATAAAGCAAGCTATTGATATGTATTGGGTAGTTGTAAACGCGTTTTGGTCATTATCGATCGATCGCTATTCACTTGACGAAGATAATATAATATAAATTTAGAGATTATCTTTGATAGCAATTTAACACCATGGTCATCTCATTACATGTGATCAGCACTACGATTACAGGAATTGATTCCAAGTGGGTATTTTATGCATAAACACAAGGCTATATCACACTTGTAATGATAACGGAATGGATGAACATTGAATTAAAATGAACACACACAGTTCAGTGTCAAGTTTGATGTTATCGTTCTTTTTTTTGTTGCTTGCCTGTATACAAATGAATCTTGTTTAGCTTAAATTGATTCAATCTAATTCAATTCAGAAGCTCGTTAAACAATCGGTGGCCACGACGAAATGAAACAAAACACCTAAGGCAAACAATGTTCAGTTATCGTTAGCAATGAGCAATAACGACCGAATCTCCGAGGGCGCAACAAGGAGAGATTTATAGAGAAAGAACGAGAAACGAAACACTCTTTGATGACAATACACATACATATAGCAAAACTAAACATATATAGCCAAGCTCGGATGTTTAGCGAAAAAAAAATTCAAACAACCAATCTCTCTCCTCGTTTAGTTGTGATTAATAATCGAAAGAGAAAGTTCGAGTTTTAGAACACACAAATATGTTATGAGTTAAGGATTTGTTTATCGAATGATGATTGCACTGTATACAGCATTTCGAATCTAGTTCAACTTGTACACTTGTTTAATTCATTTGGTTCAAACGACGACGATGATGATCCATGATGATAATGATGGCCATTTTTGTGAACGATAACGGGCACAAATGGTCGATACAAAATGTGTCGACATTTCGAACAAATTTTGAATGAAGAAAAGAATTTCTTTTTAATATCATAAAGTTGATGAAAGAGAAAGGCCGATGTTGATCATTTTTAATTATTTACTCATAATTGTAAAGGTGCGGCGACTCCATAATCCATCGTCATTTGCTGGATAAGTAAATATATCCAAAATCATTTTCTGTTTTACAATTCTAGTCGAGTTGATCTAAACTGATTAAAAAAAAGTGAGAATGTAAACAAGGGGAAAATTGGTCGAAAGATACGGAAACTTGTAGGCAACAAACAATATTGTTCACAATTACTACGACCATTTGTATATTTGTTGAACTTGATACGTCACATCATTTTACATACAAAATATCGTCGTACGACCATTTTCTTATCTTTTTGAACATTAAATAATAATAAATAATCACATTTTCTCACAAGCTGAAATTATTTTCTCTTTTTTTTCATGCTATCTAATCTTGTCATTATCTTTTTTTGTTAGTTAGTTATGATCTGACCAATAGGCATCTAATAATTTTCAATTTGATATTTGTTAAATTCATTGCATGTAGTTCTTTTTTATTATTGAAAGGCTTAAATTGTCCATAATCATCAAGATTTCGTAACTTTCTATGATAATGATGGCTTAACTAATCATCACAATTGAACATCATCAAATAAGATTGATGCAAAGCATTCATTCGATTTCAACATTGTTTAAAAATCAGGGAGATAAATTGAAAAATTTAAAAAAGATATGTGGCATTTATTTACAAACAAAACTCATAATTCAATTTGAATCAAACTTAGAAATCTGATCAAAATTAAATGGAATTGGTTCGGATGAACCAGATGATCGACGTTCTACATTTACTAAAACTTTTTCGTTTTGTTCATCAACTCGAACGATCGTGGCCGTTTGTCCTCGATACAGACCATTAAGTATCATAACTTTGGAACCAGATTTACTTGGTACCACTGTTTCTAGATGGCGTTCATCCACACGAATTAAATCTCCGTTCGATAGTAATTTGATAATGGCGGCATAACCTGAGGATTCTATCGATTCGATTCGAGCTTTCTTTTCATGATATTCAGGTCCTAGTTGTTTAGTCATAACTCGTACGATGATACCAGGTTGCATCCAGGTTTCCGATTTGATGCATGACCCGTTAATACGGTTGCTGATCGAACGATATTTCGAAGCTTGACGAGCTTTCCATCTTTCTTGTTCTTCGATTATCTCATCAAGCGCAGATTTTTTTGATTTTGATTTCAATTCAATCAAGTTTTTATTTTCAGAATCATCTTTATTTTTTGTTTTACTGGAAATCGTACTTGATGGTTTAGCGTCATGGGAGATTGCTGCTAATGGTTGACAATTGACAGGTTTTTTGACGGCCAAAGAGAATGTTATTTTTTGTTCTGGGTCTTCTTTTACGAATATTTGTTTCGATGAATGGGATGATTCTTCGTCGGTCTCATCGATATTTTGGCTATTACGCAATCGATATTCCATTTCCGAGCGTTTTCCACGTTCGATCTGTTCGTTTATTGTCTGTGCTTGACGTTCATCATCATCGCGGAACATTTTCTCTTTTTTCGCTTTATTCTCATTTCGAAGCAAAGTTTCCGGATCACGATCAATGTAGGTTATGAACCAACCTTTTTCGTTGTTTTCAACATGACAGATTCCTTTTCGTCCCATCCATTTAACCAAGCCGGTTAAAGTACACCATCGAGTGGAATTCATATGCAAATGGTCACGATCTTTAATGTATTCTTGGTATACCTGATTGGCAAGAACTCGCTTTGTTGAATAACGACGTTTCAATAGATGCAGAAAATCTTTAAGAAAATCGGATGAAAATTCATCCATATAACGATTCGGATTTTCTGAAAACAAAAGCAATTGTCGTTGATGAGCTTCGGATGTTAAATGACATTTGAATCCATTCGCATCACGGCATTGCTTCTGACACATTTGACAATAGAATTTTAATTTCTGTAATCCTTTTGATTTAATTCGCTTGCCAATGGCTTTGGCCGTCAATGGTTCGTGTTTGCCCATTTCTAGATGATATTATTCTAATAATTTATCAGAAAAATTCACAAGTTATAGTTCTCCGAAATGATGCAATGAAATAAATTGATTTGCAAAATCAAAACAAATCGAATGTTCAGCTGAGTTATAAACCATCCATAGAATACATGACGAACAATTTTTCATCATTCTGTGACCGGCAATTCCAGATTCTAAGTTTATACTTTTTAAAAAAAATTTGAGGCAATATGAATCAATCGGTTATTCAAATCATTAAAAATATTACCAATACTAACTCTAGTCGATCGCTTCTGCAACGATTCATAGCTTACTCATTTAGACAATCGATTCGTTGCAAATTCAAGCGTTTCGGCGATCGACCTGTTGGTGAATCGCTCAAAATCCTAGATCGTGAATATCGTACCGATGAATGGACTAATATACCAGATAAAGTGATCGATCTGATTGAACGACATGATCCATTATACAAAACACCTGGCAATCCAATCTATTTGATAGCTGAATCTTTGCGTCAACATTATACTGATTTTGAATGCTTTCAATTTCGTGATCCAGTTGTTACCACTTGGCAAAATTTCGATTCTATCCTTGTTCCTAGTGATCATGTATCACGATCGAAAACAGATACATTCTATGTTGATAAACAACATGTTCTTCGTTCTCATACTTCAGCTCATCAGAGTGAATGTTTCAAACGTTTGGCAAACACCACAAAACATCAAGCATTAAATGATCCAAAATTCATGATTATTGGTGATGTTTATCGACGCGATGAAGTAAATCGTACCCATCATGCCGCTTTCCATCAGGCCGAGATTGTTCAACTTTATTCCGAACAACATTGTCGGGTAAATTATAATTTATTATTCACTATCCATAGCATTTGATGGTATGATAATCAAATTCATAGATGGCGACGACAAACCTTTTTGATGAATCAAATGAAACACGAACCGACCATTGTCAAGAACGACACAATTTGAACGCTATTCAAATAGTGGAAAATGAGCTTAAATCTCAAGTTGAATCCTACATACATCTAATGTTTGATTCCACAGACGGTGATCCAATTCAAATGCGTTGGGTACCTGCCTACTTCCCATTCACACATCCAAGCTGGGAACTTGAAATTCAATTGCCTCGTAACAAATCTACTAATGACAATGGAGAAGATCTAGATAAATCAGAATGGTTAGAAATGCTTGGTTGTGGTATTGTAGAGCAAAGCATTCTCGACCGTGATGGTCATTCAAATCGCATCGGTTGGGCCTTGGGATTTGGTCTTGAACGGTTAGCGATGCTATATTATGCAATACCCGATATTCGTTTATTCTGGACACGTGACACTGGTTTTTCTGTCCAATTCGACCGCTTGAAACCATTTGAACGATATCGATATCGTCCTATATCTGCGTATCCGCAGAAAATTTTTGACATTGCATTCTGGCTTCCCGCCGAATGTTCTGAATGGTCAGCAAATGATGTGCATGCTATTATATTAGAAATAGGCGGTCATCTAGTTGAACAAGCACACCTAATGGATGAATGGACAAGACCCAAAGATGGCCGTAAATCTAATTGTTACCGAATCGTATATCGTAGCCATGAACGAGCATTAACAAATGATGAGGTAAATCGCATACATCATCGAATCGAACAAGCATTGGTGAAAGAATTGAATGTTGAAATACGTTAATATAACAGTAATTAATTGTAATGATAATAGTTAATTGATTTTTTAGGCTAAAAATAACTCTGTTTTGATGTAATAAAAATGTATCATTCTGATGGTGGCAGTGAAGGGGATAAGATATTTCTATTTTTCAAAGATGATACTGTTGGTGTCATCATTGTTGTACTGATCATCATGTTGTTATTGTTATTGTTATTGGGAATCACTTGATATGTATTGATCAAATGTATAGGCTGCATCATAATCGTAGTTGTTGTATGACGAATTGGGCCCATGGATGTTCCTCGCTGTTCCTCGTTATTCGTACTACTTATGGGAATGATTGAATACAAGACATAATGTTTGCCACTTGTAAGAAATGTTTTTTCGTTAGATCCAATGCTTTCATCATGATCATCATCTTGATTATTATTTTCGATGTTTTTTTGATCATCATTCATGTTTTCTTCTATACTATTTGCCAATTTACGGTCTGGTTTCTGAAAAGGATCTCTTACTTCGCCGGTAACAGGAGATAAAATGAAAATTGGTGATGATGAAGCAGTTCGTATACTAGATGTTGAAGACGAAACCATACGGTGCGAATGATGAGACTGTGGTGTTACATACGATGAATGGTTTGCTGGTATTGCTATTGTGGATGGCGGCTGATTAAGATTGTTCCAGAATTTCCAGAACATTCTTGATGCTCCATTAAGTATAGGCGAAATAATACTACTTGTTTGTAATTGTTGAGGGCTCTCGGATGTTTCATCGGAATCAGATTTTTCGTCATCTAGAGTTGATTCCAATTTGTTTAAACGATCCCGAGCATATGCGTGGCGAGGTAACAGTTCAAATAATGGAGGAAATTGTCCATTTTGGTCGGTATTTAGCAATGGTCCACTTGCACTAGCCATATCATAATCATAAGATACATGCATTGGATGCAAAGAACTTGGATTTGATATTGCAGTGGTTAAGGGCTGTTCGGCATTTGTTGGACGTGTCATATACGATGCATAAATTGACGGACGAACAGAAGGATGTGTATTGATTATGTTAGGTGGCCACTGTGTATCGGTTCTTGCAGGTTTTTGCTTCTGTGATTCAAGCACAGTTATTTCATTGTTTTTTCTATTGGGAAAAATTCCTTGCTGATGATTGTCACCGTTGAAATTGACGGTGCAATTTGTTGGAAACAATTTCAAACGAACTGGAACCGTATTGGATAATGTGATCCGTTGTCGACAATAGGTTTTGCTATCAAATCAAGAGGGTTGTTGTTTTTAAAAATATTTTTTCTCATCATTCAATACACAAATTTATAGACTTACACGACAAAATTACTATCTAATAATTCAATACGATCAATGTGCCATTCATTAAGACCATAATAGATCCAACCTCGATATTTAGTATAGGTAAGGGTCACTTCACTCACATTGGTCAATTTTGGATGAGCCACGATCAAACTTTGAATTCGTTCAGATTCCTTAAGCTGATCTACTTCTTGTGTTAAAGTAAACGTTTCGTTCATGCCATCCGCATTTATCAATTGCAATTCAATTTGACCCCAAGTGACTCCTTGTTCTCCAGTAAACTGAATTTGTACTTTAAACTGATTCACTAGCGATGTACAAAAAACAAAATTGAGAAACATTGGTATCGTATTTAAGAAACAAAAAACTCAAAAAAGAACACAAACCACAGAATGGCTCCTTATCTCTGGTAATCAAATACATTGGACCACGTCCTTGCGATAGATTAGCAAAGTATCCCATATTCGAACATTGACGGCCATCTGGTCCACAATAGAAACATTGTCCTCTGATATAATCCTCATAGCTAGTGCAAGAGAATGCCCGAAACGTACAATCCTGATGTACAGAATCAATGAAAAAACGGAAAGCTCTGCGATGATTGCACAACAGATTCCATTGTCCGTGATACAATATGTTGGTCAAAGCACCCAATGCTGTACTACAACCAACCTGGACGCGACCACCATTAGGATAGAAATCGACAGAGCCCATTGGTTCATATACTCCCAGTCCGCCGCGTATGAATCCATCTCCATTTGAATGTATAACATCGACAAATTGTGCATCACTTGGATCAAGCCGAACATTAGCGGGATATCCTTCGAAAAGCGGTGATGCAGGATCAAGACCAGTGATGCGACTTATGTTTGCTACTTCTTGACCTGCAAATCCGGCAACATGAGCACCAAGTGAAAACCCAATCAAATGAAATCGAGAAGGAGGAACATTATACAAACGTTCAATCTTTCGAATTAATCGTGCAATTTGTTTGCCCACCAATTGAGTGTTGGCTTTTATTTTAGAAAGATAGGAAAAGAAAGAAAGATGTTACAAGCATCAAGCTAGTCGAAAGAGACAAGCTCAGAGACTCACCTGCAGCTTGCACGTAGTTAGGCAATTTGGAACCATTTTGCCAATCTACATTAATGATGTTGAAATCATCCAATTGGAGCAGCACTTCGGTCATCTTTTGTACCCAAGGTCGTTTGCTTGATGAACCAAAACCATGGATGATAATTTTTACACTATTCGTGCCATTGAATGAGTTATGAATCTGTTTTGAATTGTTTTCAGTGGATGAATCTTTGTCGTTATCAATATCATCGTTATCGTTATAATCCAGCGGCTCGCCTTCAATGGGATTTCTTCTCGTATGGAGGCTAAAAGTTGTTTCAATTGATTCAGGTGAAGCTAAATCAGACCAATAATAAATAAGTTTGAATGATCCTATCCTACTCACCAGGTAAAGTGTTGAGATAATCAAAGGGTCCTTTGTGCCGGAAACAGCCAAAATGTTCATAACAAACCTGTTGTTGTGGCATTTGGGATTGCTGAGAATCATCCTCAACTCCTTGTAAAGATAAAAATTGTTCACGTTTTGTTCGACTCAATCGTCTTTGGTTATTGTCAATCGAATTGGTGGAGATTGATTTTTGATTAAGATGCCAATCATTTAGAGATTTTTTAATGGCTACCCATATTTCATAATCAGTTGGCAATGATGATGGTAAAGAAGAACACTCTAGGGAATCGTAATCTCCGGATGATGAATGAATGCCAAATGAAGTTGGTCGCCTTGAACATTGTTGATGATGATCTTCGGATGATTGACAATCGGAAATATTAGCACAGATTAAAAACAATAGGCCACATATGGTAAAATACATTGATGTGGTGTCGATCATTGTCGGCTAGACATTCGTACATCTATCCGGCAGCAATATCGAATGTTCACTGTGCATACGCTTCGAAACATTGCCCAACACCTGAATGGATCAAAATCTGATGGTCACCTGCAACACCACAACCATCACCAATCGAATTGTGTGTCAATGGTGATTAGTTTTGGTCAACCGAATAGACTTTTGCAATTGGGCTCTTCGCCAATGTAACCACTCACTGGCCAACAAACAGATGATGATCCTGGAAAAAACAAAAAATTCGCTCACTCGCTTCTGGCAGTTCGGTCGATGATCGTTTGTTTCGAAGAAGGCGATGATGGTCATAGCCATTATGACGATTATGCCATTATGGTATCGTGAACGAACGAATATACGAAAAAAGATGATCATCGTCTTGATGGTTGTCGTTTGACATGATGGCTAATATTAGTTCACATTCGGCTCGTTGATCTATTTTTTGTTTGTTTGTTGTTTTTCTTGGTTTCTGTTTTCGGGAGAAGACACTGCAAAGTTGATGATGGCTCTTGAGGGACATCATGCAGTTCTATCACCATCAAAATGACACTCGTTCGTTTGGTGAGGCATTCATTTCATTTTACTTAACTTGATCGTCATAAGTTGATGGCAATATAACTTGTTATTCATCAAGTGTCAGTGAGAAACCAGAACACCAGAACAAACACCATTGACAGTTATGTTATCGTAATCGTAACAAATTTGTCTACACCTGTCTCATCTCATCTCCATTTTTCTCTTTCTCTCGTTTTCTCTCAATGTTCGATCCAATTTGATCATCGGCCATTGACCAAGTACATAATTGTTTATGTGATTTCAACTTTCTCTGGCCTCATTTTTTTGACTTGTTCATCTAGCCAGAAAAAACGAAGATGAACAGGTCACCAGAAAATCATCTACGATCAATTGATGATCAATCGTTTTTTTTTTGAATATTATTCAAAAAATGACGTCAGGTATTGGCATTACTATGAAAAAAGCGCGTGTGCAAGACAAGAAAAACCCGTATTAAATTATAGCTTACATTAATCAATTGCATGCACAATTCCATAATGAATATAAATAGCAATGAATGCAATCATTAAATATCTTTGGATAAAGGATTCTTATCAACACTTTTTTTTAAATATTGAAATTCGATTTCAATCATGTGAGTAAATCCATTGCTGAAGCAAACAATTTCAGGAGAGGGAAAAATCAATGGAAAGTCCATAAACAATAACTGGCGGTCAATGCTGATGATGATGATTATAATTATTGTTTATTAATAAGCTTCTGTTGTTGATTCAAGTGCGATCGTCATCGATTACAAATTGACTATTAAAGCTATTAAACTATATATTTATTTTCAACATTTTTTTATTGTCTCCTGCAAACACAATTGATTTCTGTATTTTTTTTCTTAAATCAAGAAAAAAAATAATTTTCCTTCGATTTTCAAATTGTCGTCATTTGCAATTCCAATTCGTATATGAACACTGCCAGATTTTTTTTACCCGTTCATTCAGATCTGGCAATTTTGATTTTTCAATCTTTTTCAATTCAATTTGACCGACTTCGATTTTGATCAGAAAAACTTGAACGATGGCTATCTTATCAGGTTGGTTTGTTGGTAGAGTCTATTTACAGACAACATATTATCATTATTATTTTTGGCTTGGTTAGAATCGGCTCATGTTTCAAAAGATGAAATAAACAATAATCTTAATGATCAACAAATGGATCGATTATTTATGGAAAAATTTGGATCACGGATAAATTCGAACGGTGAAATTCGATTGCCTGATCCGTCTATGGCTGGCGTGTATGAGATACAAGTGTTAATGCCATCAAATGAATCTATTTTGTATAGTGAGTATATGTTATATCGGAAAATTCATTTATTAAAAAAATCATCGTGCTTGTATAGCCGTTGATTTGCGTCAAGGACGTTTAGTTCGCGGACAATTACCATCCAAAAACTGTGATTGCCGTATACAGGTATCAGCTAATGATTTATTACGTTTGTTGAATGGTCAACTAGATTTCGCTCAAGGGTTTCTTCAAGGTAAATTACGCCTCGGTTACGGAAATCAAGCTTCGGCGTTCAAATTTATGCATTTACTAATCGATATTGCCTCCTCAACGTCAACAACATCGTCGACAACTACCCCAAACAATCCAAATTTAAAATATCAGGATGATGATAAGGTTTCGATGATACCCACGGATGGTCTCAAATCGGATGTTATATTCTCAATAATTCAATATCGTTTGAGCAGCGAACCAGAGTTAGTCAAAAAGATGCCGTTCATCATAGAAATAAATCTAACCCGAAATGGGCATTTAATAGCTACATGGGTATTAGACACAAAAACGGAAGGAGGTCGAATTTATCGTTCTCATTCAAAAAATAATGGTTCAACTAATTCAGACAACAAGATCAAACCAGACGCAGTCATAACAATTGATGATAATGATCTCGCTGCTATAATGTTAGGTAATTCAAATCCACAACGAGTATTTATTTCGGGTCGAATGAAAATCCGAGGAAACATAATGCTACTGCAAAGATTGAATCAGTTTTGGGCAAAAATACAGGCCACTCGACGTGGTTCCGACTTTCGATTTGTCAAACAATTGTTAACAGATAATGTAAGTATTTTTTTTAAGCCTTTCAGATATGGTTCGAATTATGAACACAAACAATTCCTTAGCAATTCGAATCAGGTCTTGCAAGTGAAATGGTATTTTTCAATTGGATTTCTCGATTGGTCAAACCTTCCTCCGAATTGGTCGACTGTACTATTCATGTAATTATTACAGCAAAAGGAGAAAAACAAACCGAATGGGGTAAGAATTTTGAGCTATATCTTGGTCTTTTTTAAAATCATTCATACTGTTTGTTCTATATGAACATAGTTATATCGTATGATTCGAATAATCAATTATCGATTAAGCGAAGACGAATAGTAGGCCCAGATGACCATAGTAATCATGCTAATCAATCTCGATCAATAATGTTGGAAATGGATGATCAGGATTTTTGTCGTCTGGTTCAATCTTCGGATGTAATCTTGATACAGGTAAACCTTTTGGTACATAGAACAATATACAATTTTTTTTAAATATAAATAGGCTATCGAAGAACAGCGTGTCCGTGTCACCGGTGACCATCGATTATTGTCGGCCGTGTCTAAATTGTTTGATCGAATAGCCGATAATGAACAGACCCCTGCAGTTAATTTGAAGGCCAAACTTTGAAATCAACTGAATTGTTTGATTGTTCATTGTGGTTTTATTTTAAAATTTTTAAAACGTTAAACTTAGTTTCTTATCATGTTGCAATAAAATGTCTTTGTAAAATTATAATTTGAAACTTGTCCAATACCTTCGGGTAGTTTGTGTCACTGCTGCTAGCCTTTGGTCACATGCTATGGTCAAGGGTCGCAATAGAATTTTTTTTTGTGTTCTAGGTTTTTTTTGTGTTCATTCCTAAATTCAGTTTTTTGAAATCATTTTACAATCATACATAGTGTAATTTTGTTGCAAAATTGTTAGGGTTGAAAATAGCTAAACTTACGGCTAATAATGGTAAGTATCAAAAATTGATAATTATTTAGTATAAAATGAAACAATAGGGATTAACTTGTTTTTCAAAGAATTTATCGATGCTATTGGTAGTGATCTTTTTGGTCATAAGCTATGATTCACGGGCAGAAGGACAGAAAAGTGCCATCACTGTGACCAACAATTTTATCAATCGTACATCATTTCCGTGGATCCATGGTATATCCAACTTATTTACGTTTTATCAGGCATATCGACCATGTCAAACTGAATTTAATACTACTGGAACCTGTTTGGCTAAATCCGATTGTCTAGCACGAAATGGTATGGCTGCTGGAGCTTGTGTTGCTGGAGTTACTGTTTGCTGCGATCTAAAATTTACATGTGGTGGTCGTACTGATAAGAATGGAACCATATTTGTAAATCAAAAGTATCCATTGGCCGACAATATGACCAATACATGTCAGATAACAATCGAAAAACAACCTAACGTTTGCCAATTGCGTTTGGATTTTGATGAATTCACTCTAGCACAACCGGATGAGAACGGTCAATGTACTACCGATTCATTCATGATTCGAACTTCAGTTGGAGAACGTTTGCCTATACTATGTGGCGAAAATCCGGGACAACATCTCTACATCGATGTTGGTAGTGGTTTTATTAATTCGAATCCAGTCGTATTGTCCGTTGTAACTAATGGTGCTATTGGTGGTGATCTCGAACGTAGATGGCGAATTAAGATTAATATGGTTCCATGTGATTCATTGAATATGGCACCATCTGGTTGTTTACAATACTTTCGATCGCCATCCGGAACAGTTCAAAGTTTTAATTATGGCCCATTGGTAAATTTTTCGATTTTATATTTCAACGCAATGTCAACCTTTATCAACCTGTATATAGATTCCAAATAGAGCCCGATACTTGTCCAATCTTCGTTATACTGCTTGCATCCGAACTGAGGAGAATTTCTGCGGCATTAAATGGCGCACTGAACAACCAAATTCCTTCTCATGGGGATGGCCAATTAACCAGTCAGATCAAACGCGCAAAAATGCTACAGTGTTAGCATTTGCTGGTGGCCATTGTAATAGTGACGATTACATTGGCATCGATCAAGCGACTTATGAGGATAACAATCCATTAGCATTGGATGAGGATCGCTTTTGCGGACTCGGACTGATGCATCATGGTCAAGTATTTTGTGAGTAGCAACAAACAAATTGATCGATATGATTCACATGTTTAATTTTTTCTTTTTAGCTCGCTCAAAGCCATTCCAATTGAAGGTCCGCTCTAACAATGATCATCGATTAAATGGAAAACAATCTCAACAAGGTTTTGATTTGCACTTTACCCAATTGCCTTGCGTACTTTAAAATAAACATCCATCAATAATTTATATATTTTTTATTCAATAAACATTTTCATCAAAATACAAAGTTTATGGCATTATATATTGATAATTTTCCTTCTGTCTAGCTCTTTTGTCTGCGCTTGAGAAAGAGATAAATGTTTCCGATTCTGTGATGTCACCGTTTGGCCAGCAGAATAATTTCGAATACAATCGAATGGAAAGCAATAAGATGGCTAATAATAATGTCATCAACATGCATGACAAACCAATATCAAATCGAAGATGATCGAGCATCTCTTGTCGGCATCGCTTTGCCGACTTCAGATTTGATTCGATAATGGACACTTGAATTTCGTCATCATCATTGTCATCGTCAGTGAACAACATACCTTCCACAATGTGTATGCTTTGTTCATTAGTTGAAGATTGATTGGTATGTTGCCAACAATCGGCCATCTTTTATTCGAAATTGAAAAGGTGTATCATAAAAATATATTCCAGTGATTCTATCGACAAACTTACCATTGTATCATATTCACGCCATGCGATGGTTGGAATTTTGATTAACAACAAACCAAACAGAATAAATAGAGCGTAAAATAACAATTTTACGATTAACGAACAACAGGTCATCATTTAAGAGAATGGGTCCTAACTAGCCAAATGACTACTTCGAAATAATTTGGATTTGTCATTTTCATCAATGTTTGATGATTTTGTTTTCGACCTTTGAAAGCAAACATCTTTCCTTATCATCAATATATCGATCGATCCATAATCCAATCATAAATATTTGACATTTATACATTTGAATTTAATTCCTTTCCGAGCACTAAGAAGAGTTATAATCTGAATAAGTAGTGGTGCAAACAATAGTTAACAAAGTACTTGTTTGCGTGTTTAATACGCATCAACGCATGCGTAATTGTTGCCTGTTGTTTATTAATACCAATTGGTGGTCATTATATCTGCAGATCATCAATCGCATTTGGCATTTTCATTACAACCATCGTGGCCATAATATTAGATTATTTTGATTTCCATTCTTTATCATCGATCGGAACTGATTATTTATATTGGTCATCAATAGGTCTTCGAATAGACCATTATCAGTGCCTTTGTGTGTTCTTTAATCAAATTCATTCCCAGCACATTATGTGATCATAGTGAGTATCGTGGACAAAGGTATGTTTATTTTAGCTCAAATCTCGATTTGGGCGTTTGTCTTTCTCTCTTTCATATCGTGTTGACCCTCTTTTTAATCACCAATTTGTTGTCGGTTACCAAATGCTAATCGAACCAATGATGATATATGGCATTTGCTTGATTTAGTCAATATCCTACGTCATTGATTATGGCCATATTTAGAATTGGCCTAACTTGCCGCGTAGGCGCTATATTATTCTCTTTTGTTGACCATTCGATGTTGTGATGAACATTGTAATCGATTCAATCGATAAGGACCGTCTAGCAGCAAAATCAAGAGGGTATTTACACCTGAGCCATTGATTATGATTAAGGCTATTGTTGTTTACCTGGCAGTACACCTTGATTGAACTGCTTCCACATGCTGCCATATACGGCCTAAGCACATATATGAACACTTGTATTGCCTTTTTTCAAAACGACCAACAAATGGCTTTTTGTTTTTGTTTAGTGTTTGCGTGTGTTCATGTGTGGGAGAGTGTGTTAGCTTCATAGATTCATTGGTGAGAAGGGCTGCAAAAAATCATTTATGGCTCTGACTTATTGCACGATTTTCATTGTCAGCAAACAACGCCACCACCACAAAAACGACCATCGATCGAATATAGTCTAATTATGCATTAGTTCTTGTTCAGAATTGGGCGAAATTCTTTCTCTAATCGATTTTGCATATGACATGTGGTTAAATAACGATCGTGAACATATTTATCTAAATTATTTTGCCTTTCATCTCATCTATGTTTAGATCCAGATCTGTGCAACACGTCTATAACAAAAATTTTGAATATCCCTGCGGAATTTGGCAATTATGACAAAGGTATGTTATTTATCTATCTTGTCAACTTTGTTTTGACATGTGATTGTATCGTATAGCGTGGAATCGATGATTTATCATTCAACAGTGGCAATGTAACTGTTGTACAATCATCATCATCATCATCATCAACAACAACGACAGAAACAATGAATTCGCCACCTACGAATTCGTCGGCCATCCCGGTCAAAGTTGAAGACCGGGTTGATTCGGAATCCATCGAAAAAAACATTGATTATTTGAATTCTAATGGTAGTAATAATTCGACAATTCATTTGGAATCATCATCTGGTGCAACTCATCAAAATCATCATAGTAATAACAAGAAATTCAAATCGTCATTGGAGTCATCAGCTGGTATTGTGCCGGCATCGGGCAAGTCTCGAGTCGTGCATATCCGCAATATACCTGCCGAAACTACGGCACAGGAATTGATAATGCTGGCATCACCGTTTGGCAAAGTTACCAATTATCTCTTTGTACGAAGTAAATGTCAGGCATTTGTTGAATTTGAGTCCCATTTTTCAGCAATGCAAATGGCTGCTTATTGGATTCAGACCACAATCGGTGGGATACCTACACATGTTCAACCTACCATCAGGTAAGACAAATCCTAAAATGTCTTTTATCAATTTCTATTTATTTTTCAGAGGGCGTCACGTTCACGTTCAAGTGTCTAATCACAAAGAATTGCGGACACATGAGCAAAACAATGGCGTAAACAACGGGTCACCATCTTCATTTTCTAATGGAATGGTTGATAGCTATACTGGATTAATGGCTGATGCTGTTGATCAACAACAAGCTGACGTTAGTCTTACACCTTCACCTGTAATACGGGTAATCATCGAAAATCAAATCTATCCTATCACATTGGATGGCCTTTATCAAGCCTTTTCTCGTCTTGGTGGTAAAGTGCTTCGTATCGTGACGTTTCAGAAAAATCAACAATTACAAGCATTGGTACAATTCGGTGACATAGCCACAGCTATCCAGGCAAAGACAAGCTATGATGGTCAATCCTGCTATCCTGGTTCTTCTGCAGGTTTTAACGTGATGCGAATCGAATATTCCAAACTACAAAACCTAATTGTCAAATATAATAATGATAAATCTCGCGATTATACTGCGAGTGCTACTGTTTCAAATGGCAATGGTATTTCTTTTATGAATGGACAATGTGCTACCACCCCGAACAATGGCTCAAATGGACAATCCGCCTCAAGTTCAAACAACAATTCATCTCTAACGAATCATCTCCCAGATCCTTCTGACATGACTGGTCTTTTTGGTTTGAATGCTGGAGCTGCTGCTTTATCAGCCAACAATTTTAGTTCACTAAATCCGTTGGGTGGAGGGCTTACGACCAATGGTCACCACCGTCACCATGCGACCAATTCAGCTGCTAGTATTCTTTTGAATCAACAACAAAACGCCTATCTGACCGGTAATCCTTATACATCGTTGCAACAAGCTCTACTTGCCAATTGTGGTGCATCATCATTAGCCACCATCAATCCAACATCAACAGCTAATGCAGCCGCTGCAGCGGCCATGTTTGCAGCTGGATTGCCAGCTGCTTCCAATCTGGTATTCACTTCCGTAATCCACGTTTCCGGCTTGAATCCCGAGGTATGATGGCACTTGCCATTTTTTGTTGACTTATTAATCTATAGCTAACCTATTTTCCTCATATGATCGGCATGTAATGGATCTAATTTTTTTTTTCGTTCATTTTTGGCTAATATTGATTTTTTCGATTTTTTGTTTTTGTTTCCGATTTTTCATCTTTCTACTATCTCTATCTTTGTGCCTTGATTGATTGATTGACTGACTGACTGAATGACTGACTGACTATCGACCAAATATCTCTGAATTTCTGACGCACACGACAACCACAACGGACACCCACAATCATTTATAAAAATCTACTTTTTTTATCACTGTTTTTTAACCAACTGTTGATTGTTGTATTCATTCTTCAATCTTGGACGTCGGTTTATCATCAATTTTGTGAATATTATTGCTATTTCAACCGATTCGGTTCTATGATGTGCGTGCGTGTATTTGCAACACGCGTTTTGCTCGGCGTGTGTTGCCACCATTTTCCTAAAATATCACTGATACAACTATGAATGGAACGCACACGTTAAACTCGTGCTCTGAATTGCTTATGTTGAACTTATTATGCTATCCTCACCCTTGTGTCTTGATGTCAAATTACGCAGCACGTCACTCCTGATGCTTTATTTACTTTGTTCGGTAATGCTTATTTTGTTGTTTCTCTTTATCAATTTCCTATCGTTGATTTCCTTTCCAATTTTGTCACGAAAAACTTTTTTAATTTCTTAATATGATCTTTTTTTGTAGGCGTTTATGGTGATGTAATACGTGTTAAAATCCTTTTTAACAAAAAAGATACAGCATTGATACAGATGGCCGAACCGAATCAGGCACAGAATGCCATTTCTTATCTGGATCGAACTCGTTTGTTTGGTAAAACCATTCATGTAATGAGTTCCAAACATCAAATGGTACAGATGCCCAAAGAAGGACATCAGGTAATTTGACCCAAAAATTCATTTGGCTTATAAACATTCCACCTTGGTTGACCAGTTTTTGTCCTTGATTTATTTGTCTGGACTATGAACTTGGTCTAATCAAGGAAAATTAAAAATTGGTTGTTTCCAAATTCTTGGCAAATTTGTTTTTTCAAACCATGTGTTGGCCAATGAATATTTCACCCAATCGACAATTATTATATTCTAATCTATTTAATTTTTATAGGATTCTGGTTTGACCAAAGACTACGCGAATTCGCCATTGCATCGGTTCAAACGTCCCGGGTCAAAGAATTATAACAATATCTATCCACCTTCTGAAACATTACACGTGTCTAATATACCGTCTACATGTTCTGAAGATGATCTTCGCCAATCGTTTCAACAAGAAACTGGCAAGCAGATACAAAAATTTAAATTCTTTCCCAACGACCATCGAATGGCATTAGTACAATTTGACAGTATTGAGGACGCAGTCCTTGCATTGATTAAAATGCACAATTACAAGTGAGTGAAAACTTTTTTTTTTTGTTTTTACCCACCTCTTTAGTAGGCCCTAAACGAATATATTGTCACATTTCGATTAGGTTTGGACAATAAGAGGTAGAAAAATCTGTGATTTAAGCATGAAAAAAACTATATGCTTTTATATTTATGCATTGTCAAGTTTATTGTCAGCTTTTATCAACATTTTCTTAATATATTCTTCCATTTTCATTACAGAGTCGCCGAACATTCACATCTTCGAGTTTCTTTTTCCAAATCGCCTGTTTGATATAAGATGAGGTAATTTTTTTCATTTTCCATTGATTTCCTCTCTCCTAAAGACGTTGTTTGATCTGAATGATTCAAACAAACGTAAGACAGAAGAGATAAATGAATTCAACCATTTCTTCCGGTCTGGAATCATACAAACCGAATATATGATCGTTTGTAAACGATTTTGGGTGGAGAAATACATTACAAAAAAAACAAAACAAAACAAATCATTGATTTTTTAATTTTCTTTTCAATTTGCAGATTTTTGCTTTCAATATTGAAATCAACTTGCTCAACTTAATCAAAAGGATCATGCTTAAAAGTGTAAGTATTTAATTGTTGTTTTAACGTATTCTCTCTTGCTCAAAGAATGTTTGGTTCAATCTATTGTTTGCATGATGATCCGAACCTATGCAAGAGGAAAGTATCCAAATAATGCACAATGTCCTGATTTTCATCTCCATTGAAAAATGTTTAGGTGAAAATTTTCGTATTTTGTTGTAACATTTTTTTTTGTTGTTTCAGATTCAAATTTCTAAATTTTTGTCCATCACGATCATGTTCCAACTTAAACGATAAAATTTGCCTTATTTTTGGTCCATTCATCATTCAAATTTATTCTTAATCATTCCAAAACACATATATCAAACACAATCGTTGAGCTTGCAATTTGTTGCCTTAGCACCGAGTTCTCTCAGGATGAACGGATCAAACCAAAAAGCCTACCACAACATCAAATAAATGCCAGGAGTATTGTTCATTGGATCATATATATTTTCATTATCATCTCATTCATCAGTTTGTTTGCCTATCATAAAATCATCGCCTATTTCTATCATTGTATTGGAATATCATTGCTTATTTTATGCATTATTTGCCCAACAAAGATCGATCATTGATTAGCCAAAAAAACGTGGTCCAACCAAAATTGCTAAATTAGTCTTCCGTTTATTTTTTTGCTATTTTACCTTTCAATTAATCCGTCCATTTTTAAAATATTATGCTTTTCGCTACATTCCAATCAATTGAACAAACTGAAAATGTCACAAACACAAACACATTAAATGTATATGAATAAACGAATTTTTTATCATTTTAATCTAATTTTGAATCTTTGATTTGTTTGTAATTTTCAATAATCAGTTTTTTTTGCTTCCTTAAGCGAATTTCGAATCGTGAATTTGACACAAATTAATATATCAACGATTCAATCAGTCGAAATCAGCAAACTAATGCCCAAATCATCATTATTTGCAAATCAAAAATTCGCTGACTATTTTTTTCACTTTTCTATCAGCCATGCCATAGCTGATGAATTTTTATAGATGACCATTTTCAGTATTTGATGTTGTAATCATTTGTACACACAAGGTCATTATTTGCATCTTTTGTACATCAACCGATTAATCTAAGCAATCGGTTACACAGTTGACGATTATTTAAAAAGTGGATCCGGTTTTTTTCGCAGTTGATTTTTTTCTTAAAAAAAGGAAGCTAGCTAAGCATAAAATGATTGTAATCAATGTCACCATCCTTCATTTTAAATGATCTCAGCATTCTCATTATGAATGAATTTGTTAAGACCAAGTTCAAAATCTGGCAAGATGATGTACTGAAGAAGAAAAACAAACCTATTCTAGGATTTTATCAGTATTACGATTGATGATGTGCGATACAGTGTTGATATCTCGCTGCCAAAATCCATATCGATCAAGCAATGAAACAACAGCTAGCCTAGCAAAATTTATCTCGAATGCTTCGAGCAGCATTTTCCTGCTTCTTTTTTAGGACCTAGATTAGCAGCCAGGTTTGATCGAACGCTAGTATAAATACTGTTACGATTCCTTCATTTGAATTCATCATCGAAGAGTTGCTCGACATTTTTGTCATCATCTTTTCGAATTAAAAAATTTCTTCAAACTTTGCCATCCTCGTTTTTTTCTTATATTCATCACAGATTTTCGTGAATCTTTTAACAGTTTTTGTAGGAATTGTTTGAAACCGACAAACCAATCATTCGATACTTTTTTGGCCAAAATGGCTAGAACTTTTGCTTGGGGCACGATCCTTCTTGCCTCATTGCTTCTCATCAATCTGCCTCATTGGGCTCAATCATTTCGACTTGACTGTAAATATATGATTTACTCTATTCATTGCCTGTTAAGTGATTATTCTTTTCCTAATTATAATTAGCATCATTTTCTGACAAATTGATCGAAGATGGAGATCAATTCACCTGTGCCCAAAGTTGTTCATCCTCGGAATCTTCCAAACAAATAATCGAATATCAAACCGGAACAACATATAGCTATCAAGTAGAATTATCAACCAAATTGAATGGAAAACATGACTCTGCCGATTCAAACAATCAAGTTCGAATTGAAGCCATTGCTGACTTGTCCGTATATAAACCATGTGAAATGGTTTTGCGCTTACGACAAGTGAAAGTTGATGGTATCGAAGATGAACGACAAGCAACTGAAATGAAGACACAGTTGGAAAGCTACTCCACTCATTTTGCTGTCCAAAATGGCAAAATCGAACATGTCTGTGTTGAACAAGTCGAACCCGAATGGACTGTTAACATCAAAAAATCGATAGTTTCATCGATCCAAGTATCAGCCAAAAGCTTAACGGAAAACACATCTGTTCTTGAAACCGACATCAATGGCCAATGTGTGACAGAATACCATCCAGAAAATGAATGGCGATACGGCCAAGACAAAACGGCTATTGTCCAAATTGTAAAAAGCAAACAATTATCCAAATGTGAGTGATGTTAAATTGCTTTATGATTCGGACTTATCAATCATATTTATTGAATTCATGTTTTAGGCAACAAACGACACCAAATCAACTTAGGTCTTTTCCCTCGATCTTACGGTCTCGATCAATTGATTAGATCGTCGATGCCAATTGTGAATGGTACCTATGAATGCCGACAAAAAATACAGGACGGTATCGTTATTGATTCAGATTGCTGCGACAAACAGACCATTTGGCCTTTGAAAGTAACAGTCGATTCTGATATTCGTTGTCGATTGATTGGTGAACAGTCAGCTTTAACAGTACCAAAATCAACAAGCCGTTCAATGAAACGTCAAAACTTGATCTGGAATACAGCTTTTTCTCGACAAAATCTTGTCAAAGGATCATTGCAATCACCGGACAATGATTATACTGTTGAGCAAGTAGAACAATTATTGCAGCAGATTTGCATGCAAATCAAAGATTCGATTAAAATTCAAGTTCCAGAAATGTTCGCTGAATTGATTCATGCAAAACAATCATTGAACGTTGATGATGAACAAAGAATCTACGAACAAATACAAAGTGGTCAAATCTGTCCTTCATTCAAATTAATGGACTTATATTTAGATGCTTCAGCTTTGTCTGGAACAGCTGGATCGGTTCAAGTTTTGATTCAAGCTTATGAAAAATATCAACAACAACAACAAGATCAAAGAGATATTCTGCCAAGATTCTCTTATCTCTTTTCATTGTTGGCTTTCACTAAAACACCAAACGTCGAAGCAGCTCAACGTTTAGTGCAATTTGTACAACAAGAACAACAGCGAACTCCAGTTTCACAAGATTTTGAACAAATTATTTATGGTGTAACCGGATACATACATAATCTCCGACAATACACCCAAGATCAAGAACAACAACAACAACAACAGGAACAATCAATCAGTTGGACCGATGTTGAACCAGTTATTGGTCAATTGCAACAACAATTGATCAATCATGTAGAACAATTGATGCCACAAGTTGATCAACAATCACAACAAGTTGACTATTCCACTGTTCTTTCGTTGATTCATGGTTTAGAAAACATTGGATACGAATTGCCATCCAACTATCGTCAACAACAACAATTAGTTCGACGCATGATTCAATTGTGTCAGAAATATAATGCAAGATCTCAAGGCGAATATTATTCTCCAATCCGTGCAGCTATTATTCGATCAATTGTGAATGTGGCTGATGATGAACAAATTCGAAACTATTTGTTAGAAATCTTCTTCGACCAACAACAACAAGAACCGAATGTCGTCCGAATTGAAGCTTACAAAACATTAGTCATGTCTGGCGTAAAAATCTCTGAATTGCAAAAAATTCAAGAATATGTCGATTCTGACTCTGAAAACCGTTCTGTAGATTTGATTAATTATGTTCGTTCACATCAAGCAAACCTTCGAACCACCTCGGACATTTATCGTCGTTCGATTTTGCCTTTGGGAGCTCCAAAATTTGCAAAACCAAGCAGCATGTTTGGTGTGTCTCGAAATTATGAATTCTCATATTTGAATGATGTCTACCAAATGGGTGTAACAGCCGAAACCGATGTCATATACGATAGCCAAAGACAATCAAATTCCATTCCAAAGATGATCTCTTTTAATCTCACTTTACCTATCATGGGCCGTGAATTTCAAGCTGTTCAACTTCGTGTCCATCAAAACGGTCTTGAACAAGTTTTGGGCGACAAATACCAACAATTAATGGCTGGACAATCGAGCAAACAGCTTGATCCCATCAAATTGTTTGGTAAATTGATCGATTTGGTTTCGCAGGATGGCGAACAATTGTTGCAACAGAATCCTGAATTCAGTTTATTGGTTCAAGTACAAGTTGACGGCAAAACGGTTGTTTTATGTGATCAAAATGAACTGATGTCATTGGTTAAAAGCAGTGGAAAGATTGGAGAATTATTCCGCAATGTGTTCAATCGTGAACAATCTAATCTATCGATCGATCGAGCTTACTCGATTGTCCCGATTGATTTTGTAACATCGATGACCACTTCGAGCGGCATGCCAGTTCAAGTGCAAGTGAACAGTACTGTCGTCGTCGGTTTGAAAACTGATATTAACTTCAATGTTGATCGTCAAGGTTCGTCGGATGTCAAAGTGGCAATCTGGCCATCATTCGCTGGTCAAGTTGAAGCCCGTGTTCAATACTATGCCGGTCAGCAGGCCAAATCAATTCAGCATGTGGCACGTGTTTATTCGGCTCCACATGTCAATTTAATTGTCAAGGTTGATGACCAGCAAGGTGTTAGCATCAAATCAACAATGCCTGAACAGAAATATACTGTGATTCGATATGAAACAGGTTTCTATGTCGATCAACAAGTTAGCCGCTCTTCATTTGAAACGGAAAAACGAAGTTTCGGATCGTCATCGGATCGAGAAAGCGAACAACATCGATGCACTGAATTCACCAAAAGATCACTTGGTATGTTCCAATTACTTTATAAATGAATTTCTTTCTGATTGAGTATAATTTAGGTGTGGCTCTTTGTTACGATGTTGCTTACGAAAATGATGACCGACAAAATCGATTTGTTGCCGAAGTTAGTGTTCAAAAATTCGACCATCAATTGAACAGCTTCGAGCTTCATTTGGATAATCCGGTCTCATTCTGGAAATCAATTTCCGGCTCGTCATCGCGATTAAATGGGGAAAAACGATCACTTAAATTCATCTTTAACACTCCTGGCTCGCGAATCGATCGTGAAACTTCATTCGAATTGCAGTTACCTACTTTTGATCGTGAAGCTGGTTTACTGTCGACTGGAGCCCGTCTTAAGATCAAAAGCCCTTGGAAACAAATGCTTGCCGAAGCAGTGATTCGCAATCATCAAAGTGAACGTTCAGTTAGTGTCCAATTAAGTTTGGATAAACATCGTTACGTGCAAATGCAAATGAATTTCGAAATGATAAAACGAGGCCAAAAAACCGAATATCAAACCAAAATGATTTTGGATACACCAATCACCGGACAACCAATCAATTTGGTGGGCGTCTTGTCATACCAACAAGGTCGCAAATCGGTTTTTTACATTTCTCTTCAAGATGTAGAACAACAACGACATTTTATCAAAAGTACCATAGTCAAGACAGGCCGATTCGATCAAGGTGATTTGAAATGCTCAGCTCATTTAATGCTTGATTTGGCAGGTGTTGCCTGTAAAGCCATCGGTACAATAGAACGTGGTGTTCGCGATCTTAAATTGGATTTTTCTACTGATTACGAAACGGAATCCAGTGGACGTCAATCCGCTCGATTGTTGGTCAAACATCAAGATTTATCTTGGGGTAAAATGATCAAGTTGATTAATCAAGCTCAATTTTCATCTAGTCAGGCACCTAAATACAATGCTCAATACGATCATCAATTAACTTATGGATCGAATGAATATTTGGAACACGATTTGCAATTGAAATGGAATCGCAATGAAGAACAAATTCGATGTTATCAATCTGTCAAAATGACTGAACAGCGTGGTCAATACGATGGTGAAGCAGAAACCATTTTTATGGTAAAACCAATGAAAATCGACTACCAATTGAAAGCTCAAGCAAGCTTGATTGGACTTGGAATGGAAAACGGAGAAACTAAACGATATGAAATAATTGCCACTGGTCATAAACGCGACCATCCCGAGCAAGACAAAATTCGTGCCGAATTGTCTTATCAACAGCAATCATTGAAACCATTGAAGATGAATGTTCGTGCTGCTGTAAAATCCGATAATATAGATTTTGTTTATAGCGACAACGTTGAAGAACAACAACCAAATCAATATCAAGGACATATGATGGTCCAATTGTCTCCTGAACAAAAATATAGCTCCCGTTATATTTACGCAATCAATAAGAAAGATTCTCAATTGATTGAACATCAATTAGATGCTACTTTCGATGATGAAATTTCTAAAAAATTGACTGCAAAACATCATGGAAAATTACGTTTGATTCCAAATCAATTGTTTGATATGGAAACAAAATGGACTAATGAACAAAACGAAGACTTATTCGATGGTCGATTAAAATGGGAAAATGAAGGCAAAACCGAATGTCAATTTGAACATCATCCCAGTGAAACTCGGGGCGAATTCGATTTAGACTTGTATTCGAGTCCATCGAAAGCAAATGTTGAATTCGAAAACAAGCAATATAAACATTCCACCAAAGTAGACTACGACAATATAGACAGTTTGTTCACTTTGAGATCAAAAACAAAAAGTAACAACGACGATATTTTCTCTGTAAGTTTTGCATTGTTTTTTTGCGACCAATTACCAATTATTTTCTTGACATCATTACAGATTGATTCACAAATCTCACCCAAACGTCGATCCCACTTGGCTATCGATTCGGAAGCTTTCACAAGTGATTGTCACTATGAACCAGAATCAGAATCTGGATCCCGAAGCGAAAAATCTGCTAAAATTCAATTCCATTTGCCTGGATCATGGCAGCATGAATCTCGTGCAAAAATAAACTGTGATGATGGCCGATATCAATTACAATCAAAAACTGATTATAACGATAAAAACGTATTCGATTTGAATGGTGAATATCATCGAAATCAAGCAGTAGCCTTAAAAATGAAAACCCGATCAACTTTTGGAGGCTTATCTGCTGAAAAAGACAAACAATATAGAGTACAATTTAAAAACGACCGATTCAAACATGATACTCGATTTGACTGTGAACGTCCAGATTCGATTGAATTTGAATCTAAAACAACCGATAATGGCGAAAATGTTGCAGCCATTCAATATGGTTGCAACCAAGATAAAGTACATGAATTGAAAGTCGATTGTGATCGAGTGGTTCGAGCCAAAGGCCAATGTCAATGGCACTCCAACGAACCATTTGCCAATTTCAATGTCGATTGGTTGGCTGGTGAATCACCCATTCATCATGAGACTCAGATTAAAGCTAATCGTCGAGATCAATCTGCTCGATTGGACAGCAAAACCAAATTGTCGGATCAGAAAGTAGCTCAAATCAAAGCAGCCATTGCCAAAAATCCAGCCGATCAGCAACCTTTTGCTTCAGCTTCGATAGAATTGCCTCAATTCGACGCTCAAATTGGTTATGAACAACAGACAAATCGCCTCGATGACCAAGATAAACAACATAAAATTTCGTGTTCTTTCGATGGAAAGCAATGGAAACCGGAATGGAAACATCAAAGTCAAATTAAAATCCTGAAGAAACGATCGATCATAGAGTTTGAAAGCAAAACTGAATCTAAACACGACAAAAACAATCATTTGCAATTGAAAGGACAATACCGTCATTTAGATGAACAACAGCCATCTCATCTTGATGTAAAATTGGGAAACATTTTATCGGCTGTAGGACAGATCAACCTGTTCAACCAAAAGGAAAAATCATTAGATATTCAAAGCAAATATGATAATGGCCGTCGATACGAGCATGAATCACAAGTTAAATACTGGCCCGAAAAAAGTTCCATGAAATGGGATGGGAAAATTAGCAATGAAATTGGTAGAAAAATTGCTTCGATCGAATCCTTTATAAGCACAGATGCCGGTAAGTAGGCAAAGAAAACTTTTGAAATTAATGGTTATTTTAACAACTGATCTGTTTTGCAGACAAAACATCTTATTTAAAAGTAGATTCTGAAGATAAGAAACAAGTGCCTCGAATCAAAATCGAATTGAACCGACGAATGAAACGTGCCGCAATCGATTTCGATATGGATCAATTTCAACATCAAACATTAATTCATGATGATCAATCTGCTGTAAAAGTGAATACTATCACTACTAAAGATCAACAGAATATTTTCAATTTCAATACCGAAATCAACCGACAACCATCGACCAAATCACATTTCCACGTCAAAGTGGGTCCAAAATACGAAACGGCTTTTCACGTATATCCAGCCAAACGATCAGGTGGTTTGTCAATGAAGACACCGGCTTTACGACACCAAACCGAATTTGATTTGAACAACCAAATTGATGGCCCAGCAAACATGCTCCAATCAGCAACTTATTATCACGATAATTTGCTTGCCAATTTAGATGCTCGAATGGAGGGTCTTCGCGGTGAAAACATCATCAAAGCCGATGTTCCTGGCATTATGCGCTTAGATACGACCATGGATGCACCTGGAAAACGATTCTCATTCGACGCTCAAGCTGACTCACGTTACGGTGGTCGCCATGCTATGGGCTCAATCTATGCAAACCATGTTCGACGAAACGTTGCCGGTTTGGAAGATCGTCAATTCCATTTTGACCTTGCCTGGGATGTTGATCGTGATCCCCGATCTCGTGTTCTCGTCGATGTCTCTGCTCAACGTCAACCCGATCAGTCAGTGCAAGTCGTAGTTCGTGCTGATTATGCTCACAACAAGCTCATCTTCGAAACGGAAATGATGCCACGATCTGTTTTTGCTCACTCAGCTCGTATGTCGTTGTCATACGTTCCGTATGGTGATATCGACTCATTTCAAGTGATCTATACTCACATAAACCGCTTGCCACAAGTCGAATGCAAATTCGATTTCATGTTCCGTGGACAATTGAAATATTCGGCTAGAATGACATCTCAACTAACCGACGAACGATTTGTAATTGGATTTCAAACTACTTCACCTCAAAATCTTGAAGCTCAAGTGAACATGAACGTAATGGGTGTCGCTAAGGGACCCGGTCAATACTATTTTAAAGGCAGTGTTCAACGAGCTGTAGAAGATCAGTATGAAGTGGAAGCCACCCTCGAGCAAGATGCCGATAATCGAGTCTATTATGGCAAAGTAGAAGTACGAGTGCCAAAAATGGAATCACAATCTTTTGAATATCGAATCGATTACCCAGGACGTTACATCGCAATTCATACGGTCAATCCACAATCTGGAGGTCGATTTGAATTGGAAGCTCAAGCACCTCTTAACCAAGATCTCAAATTGTCATTGAAATCGGATGTTGCCTATTTGCCTGTGATTGACGGTAAGATTAGCTACTCTGTAAGCGAACCCGAATTCCATGCCAAATTAGATTTCAACCAAGAACGGTTGATCGAAGCCCAATATAAATTGACCGGTATCGAATCGATCGGTAGTGGAAGATTCCATTTGTTGGCCAAATGGCAATCTGTCTTCACACCATCGTTCGAAGTGAGCGGTTCAAGTGGTATTGAGCAACAAACCAATGGACAAGAAAACTTGGTTTTCACGATTGAAGGAAAATACAATGCCGAAAAGATCTTCTATGGTCAGTTGAAACGGGTTTCATCACAATCAGATGCCTATGGAAAACAGTCTATTGTTTTCGATATGCAAGGCTGGATTTCGCGACCGAACGGAGTCAAACTTATTCGAACAGCATCGAAATTCGCTCTTGGCCAGAACAGAGACTCTTTCATCGAATACGTATTGGATGTTGAACCAAACCGTGATGAATTGGAAACCATCGAACCTGTTTACGTTATTATCAACGGTGCCCGAAAACCTGGTGAATCAGATAAATTGATCGGATCTATCAAGATTAGCAAAGGACAAGAACGTCGTGATTGGCTCGATTGCGATGTGGTTATCGAACAAGGCAATCGCTATTACCAAAATGAACAAGTAGTCGTTAATTGGTATGGTATGGCCATCGTCATGCCAGAACGTATCATGACAACTGTGCGATATGTACCCACCTCGACACAAGCTACATTCCAAGTTTCATTCATGGAACAATTGGACGTCGCCGAACAAGGAAAGACTTTGTTTGATGAACAATCTGTTCAACCACAATTGCGTAATTTACGCGCAATGCGAAAATATCGAAACCAAATGGTCGCTACATTAGATGATCAAAAAATTGGTTACGAAGTCATCTCAACCAAATTAGCATATCGAAACACTTGGGAACATTCTGTTCGTCTTTATTCTCCACAATCAAATGGTCGCTCAGTCCAATATCGAACTGGTTATCATTATTCACCGGAAACATTCACTTACGTCTACCGAAGCGAATTGAAATATGGATACCAAAGTGAACAACCAATCTATACTTCAACACAGGTAATTGCTCCAATTCCGAACAAACCGACCTCTTACATGGTTTATTACGATCTTCATTCGTCTGTATTGAGTGGTGATGGACATGTCTGGGCTCGAGCTTTCTTGTTTGGACCCGAAAATAAATATCAAGGCGTAATCGCTACAGCAAAAACTACCCAAAATGATCAAATTACCTTTGAAGCAACAGCACGAACAGAAGAAGAACAAGCCAACCAATTGGTCTACTATGGACAAACAAATAAAGTGACCTACTATAATGTCAGCCTATACACTCAAGATCAACAAATCGATTCTGGTGTTGATGGTTACGTTTCTGGTAATGGTTTAGAATTAAACTGGCACAATCAAAACAGATATGGTCACCGACAAACAGGACAATATCGATTCCGATTTCTCGACAATAAACAATTCGAAGCAGTAATGGAACATAACAACAATGGTTATTATTGCAAAGGTCAATTGAGACCTAAGCAAGATGTCTACGTTGTTGATACTGTCGTTGAACAATATGAGAAAGTGGTCAGCAGTGGTAAATACTACTATAATCAACATGCACCACAACAAATGGAAAAACGAGTCAAAGGTCAATACAAGATCCACGTTGAAGCCAAAGATCAGTGCATTCGTGCCGAAATTGTCCGCGATTCAGCATCTGTTGATTCCAAATACGAACAACGATCACCACTTGAAGGAAGCTACACACAACAGTTAAGCTTCTGCATGGAGGATGATAAATCAAACATCTTAAACGTTGCCATCGATTCAATCGAGAACGGTCAAAAAACAACTGATTTGAATGTTCGTCTTGACACCCGTGAAGTTGTCAATTCAATTATTCTTTCGTTGAAATGGAACCCTCGATATGAACAAACTTATTATGGACAAATTTATGAACAATTGCGACATGGTCTTAAATCCGAAGTTTCCGAAGAAATCCGACATGTTGTACGAACATTGCGACGAATTCTCTACGAACAACAAGATGGAATCAATCGATACCAAGTTTTGGCTGAACGACTTGTCCAATCAGTAGAAGACTTTTTCGGTCTTGATGCTGGTGAAGTGCAACAATTGATAAACGAATTGGTTACCGAACCAATAATTTCAACATTGGAATCGCTTTACCGTTATGGTTACGAATACGGCTATATTGTTGAACAATATCAACAGAAAATGAAACAATTGGTTCGAAAAGTTGAATACGAATGCTACCAGAGTGATGTTTGCCGTCAATCAGTGGAAGCTGTGGTCGAAGCCTGCAAGACTCCCGAACGATTTGTTTCGATGGTCAGCGATTATTTGGTACAAGCTTTGCAACATACCCACCGTGTCGTTTCAACCAGCTATTCTGGCCGATTGATTCGTTCATTCATTCCTGCTACTTTTTATGAATATTTACCTGAACTGATTCATCAAATCAACCATTATTTTATTCAATCATACACAAAATTGGTCCATGGTAATTATCCATTAGCTGATTTCATCAACAATTTAGAACATGTTTCACACGAAATGATGGTCGCCACCCATTGGCGTCAAGTACAATGGCATCAGGTAAAAGAGGCAATCGGTAAAATGATCGAATTGACTGTATCACCATGGCGATACATAAGTACCACTCGTGTTCTTGTTTATGATCCTCAACAAGGACAACTTCAAATCGAATTGTATGGTCCGGCCGTAAAGCATCCCAGATATTATTATAAACAAATTATTCGACCAATTTTGTCTCACCGAACAGATGCTTTAAACAAAAGCCAATCATCGTATGAAAAAAGCGGTTACTATTATCCATCTTCTGGTGAGCAATCATCATCCATCCTCTCGCAAATGTTCGGACGCGTTTAAAACCGAATTCATTTCAACAACAAAAAAAACAAACACACACAAATATTTTATTTAAATAAATAATTATTCAATTTAATTGTTATTTTAATTGAAATTTAACTATTTATAAAATTACTTTATACAATAAAAAATTGCAAGCGACGCAATCCCACCTACTGGATAACAACCATTGACTAATTGATTATTCTATCTATTCTAAATGTCAATTGATTAGGTAGCACTCATCATGAACGAATAAGACGCGAGATAATGGCTAATCATTCTCATTCTTCTTCATCTGTGAATTTGAATGCAGCTTGGATTGAATTGATGTTGACCCATTCTTCTAATCTAAATTTGTCCAGTGCATTTAATTTCACTACCGAACAAATCGATTTGTCTGATTCGAATTTTTCGGGTGACAATCAAAAATTGTTGCATCTGTTTGATTTGAACCTCTTCCAACAATCGACAATCAATGTGAGCATGAAAAATAATGAGCAACAAGTGGATATACAGTTCGTAGACTTGTAAGTATACTAACCTGAGTATAGTGCAAAATTTCATCCATTGATATGAAACCATTAATCAGTTATTTACAGATTGATTCCGATCTTCGATGGACTGTTCCAAACGCAATTGATAAGGAGGAACCATTAAAGTCAATACGCATAAAAGGAAATACATTTACAGTAAATTTACAAAAAAACATTAATGATGCGAATCTATGGCTGAATCTGACTTGGACTCCTCAGCGTCATCACTTAGTCATTGACATTAAATTAGAATGTCTCGAATCGACTGTAACTGACATGACCATAGTGATGCGTTCTTTGATTCGTTCAGAGCGAAAAGATGCTCTAATGTATGGACAAGTTTCTATGCTTGAATTGATCGACGATGTGTTTCCCGACGATCCATTTTTCTCTGCAGACAATCTTACCACATTGCTACAAGATGGTATGAATCTTCGACAATCGCTATGTTATCATTGGCTTATGTACAATCGAATCAACCATAGTCAAATGGAATTGCAAGCCTGTTATCGGATTCATAATCTTTGCAATCTGATTGGTCATTTTGTGCAGCAAAAACAACTGTTTAGAACCCCAAATCCATGTTTGTCTTGTCCGGTGCAACAATTAGTTCCGATTACTTCATCTGCGAATATTCAACGAGTTCGTTTTGGATCAAGGCAAATAGTCGAAAACAATGATCGAGCTCAAGTTATCTACTTGCTTGATGGCACTTGTCATAAGCCTGAACAGCCTAAATTCACACTTCGATTTCTTCTACAATTGAAACGGCTGTCTAAAGTTATTGAACGGCAATTTCGATCTCAACGAATCAAAACAGAATTTTCGGTATCTAATTCTATTCATTAAATTAGTTGCTTAATAATGTTTTTTTTTACTTAAATTTAGCTAGTAATAGCAAATCGAGATGGCCAATATGAACAGGCTTGGCCACAACCGGAACCCCAACTGACATTCGACCATTTGATTAAGTTTCAGTATCGCAATCTCAAACCACTACGCTTAACGAATGGCTCATCCATATGGAATGAGACAATGGTTCGTCAATCCTTATGGCCTGTTGATGGCCGACATTCCCTGGATTTTCTCTATCAATTTGCCTATTCGCCGCGACAAACATCTCGACATTTCATCATGATTGATTGCAGTCATCTAACTAATGTAACGGGCCAGACAAATGAAAAGAAGCATTCTACATGCAGAGAAAACGATATAGATTTCAATACCGCTCGCAACATATTACTACAATCTGCAAATTATTTTCATGTTGTTACAGGACATACCTTGACACAGCGGCCTTTCAGTTCGCCCAAGATGCGTCGCATAATCGGGATTGATTGGCATCAGGTTATGTTTGAGCAACAAGTTGCTGCCATATCGAAAATGAACGCAAGTTTAAATCAGAATCAAAATACGAACAACAGTCAGGCAACTGTTGCCCAATGGTTAAGGCAGCATATAACACCTAATCGTGACCTATGCCATGTATTGGCATTGGAGACCAATGGATCAGTGTTCAACCACCGAGCTTTGAAACAGGCCAATCGTCAGATATTCGTCCATCGTTTATTTTCAAACCATCAGACTAAATTATGTCAACGATGTGATTGCACACTGGCAAAAGATTACCTGCTAGCCCAACAAGAATGTTTTCTCTGCCAATCTCGGCCGCACACAGTTATGAATCGTTGGCATCATCGTGAAGCGAAAAATTTGAATTCCGATAATCAATCTGTTAGCCCACAAGAATGGACCGATGAGGATGAACAACAATTTCTGGAAGCTGAAGGTCACTCATATGATAACGATCAGGAATCTGATGATTTGAATATATGAAAATTAATGAATGAAATCAACTAAATCTATCATCAATATTTCGAATGATTATTTAAAATTAATTCACAATGTGCAATACGCATGTCTCTGTTGGTATTTTTATAAACCACACAAAACAATAGTGTGGTGCGAGATTATGTTACTTGTTTAGCCCATACCGCTACTACTCATGAACTTGAGTCGAACAATGCAAACAATGAATTGATGAATCGAATGAATTTGGCAAATACGTCGTCAATGAACGACGACCGAGTCTTGACGATTCCCTCTCTTTTTTTTTGTTTGCGGCTTTTCTTGTGTTGTGCTCGAGATTCTTTTCATTGTTTGTATTGTATTTAAGCTTGTGTGTTTGTCAATTCAAGTGAATTCTTTCACCAATTAAGAATCGCAACTAAATTTTCCCTAAAACTTTTCTAAGCTTGTGTTCTAATGTTTTCGATACAATCAATTATTGTAAATGAATACAAAAAATTGATATTGTATAATTTATCAACTGTGTGCATATTTCTTTCATATTTGAACCATATTAATCAATTCTGATTTTGACAAATGATTCTGATTGTCATCAAATATTCAAATCAGTATTGACATTATTAGACATTGTTTCATTAACATGGCATAAACAGTTATTGGAAAATTTTTCACTATTAAAAAGCATCGAATCCATTTGGAACCGGTATAGAGCTCATTTATTACTCTCCCTGGGCTATATACTTTATTAATGTCACGGGCACCTGTGTCAGCTGCCTGATTGTTGCTGCTACTAAGCATTAGGTCTATATAGAGATAAATCAATAGCATCCAGCTAGAACCAACGTAAATCTTCATTGTGCATTTGTTTGTTTGTTTCTCTCGTGTTTATCATTCTTCATCTGTTTGCCTTGTGCTATGTGGGACCATGTTCATTTATTGATCAGATAGATTTTGGTGGATTGATTTTTATGTTTATCATATAACAATAGTGGACAATCATGATGGCCAATATATCTCTACAAACGCAACAAAATACGAATCTGCAGTCGATCATGCAAGTCTCAAATGGTACGACAACAGCAGGCTCGGTTGCTAACAAAGTACTCATTGGTGGACATTCGCATCCGTTCGCATCACATCACAATCATCATCATCATCATCGTCATACTTTGACATTCCCTAACTTGGAAACATTATTTGGAACATCAACATCATCGACTAATGGGTCATCCCATTCGATTTTAACGCCAACAACCAATGCCACAATAATAAATGGAAATAAAATTGTTGTGCGGCCTGTCATCAGTAATTCAAAGCTAAACAAGAGTAGCACATTGGCCAGAATTCAGCAAATAACCAAGTGTCCTGAACATTCATCCCCGTCAATTGAATCTAGCAACAATGGTGTATATTCAACTATCACCAGTGGAAATGGAAATTTGGTTCTTTATTCTTCCAATATATGTCCTTCAACTAGATCTTTGATTAACAATACAAATCGTGTTATCAACAACAACAGTTCAACAGTCAAACATATACCTAATCCAACCCTTTTGACCCAGGAAACGGATATAGGGACGATTACAAATGATCAAATGAAACCCAGATCTGCATCGAATACCAATTTGCCCGACACGGCATCACCGATCTCACGCAAACGAAGCAAGTTAAACACTGTTGAATGCACCCAGTCGTTATCTACGAATGCAAAATGTCAGATCAAAGGGGTCAAGGTAAAGGATGATGAAGAAATACAAGTTTCGATCAATCCGAAATCGATTTTTTTCACTTCCTCGAATGTACAAAAAGTTCATAATCAACAGATCACTAACAACAATTCTAAGACACTTGATACTCTTAAGCTAAACAAATCTACCAACGATCAAAACAATACCGGTAACAGTGTACAGAATCAGCAATCGGTAAACACCACACGATTTGTTGGCATTGTAAATCGGCTTAATTCATACCACAACGAAACAGTAAGATATTCTTTTCTAATAATAAATATTCTAATATATTTGTTTATATAGTTACCCGAAAATATTTTCGATACAGACGACGAGGACGATGATGATGATCTAGACATGAATTTTGGTCCTTATTTTCACGATTCTACAACCATCGCTAGTGTTGATAATCTTGCATCAAATGCTTCACAATTGGATTCTGTAAACACAAATTCTAACTGGAAATCATCGATTGTCAGTCAGTCATCAGACTTTATCATTCAATTGACCTCATTGGATCCAAAACAGCCCGTGATAGCCGCCGCACAAAGTGCGAATTTACCTATCTCCACCGATCACGATCATGCATCTATAATTAGATCAGTAAATGTGGCGAATGTGAATTGTAATGATAAATCTGCTCTTTTACTTGATCCATTCAAGACAGCGATTGTTGGACCACAACAATCAAATTTCAATACGAATAATGTAACTGATAAAAAACAGTCTAAACTCAACACAACTCTTGCTTCTAAACAACAAGATCTAACGACTAAAACGGCTTCAATTATGTTATCATCGTCATCTATCGGACAGACGGAATGTGATTCTTTCAAAACCATTCGCGAAAACGGTAAATTCAAGTCGAAAAAGTCATCAAAACCCGCAAAGAGACCGACAATTCATAAAGACGAAAGTGCTGGTCTTTCGAAAAAAAATGATCATAAAAAACCTCCTTCAACGGCCAAAGCAATCGATCAACAGCATCAACGTTTGGAAATTTTGCAGCGAAAACGTCGACAAGTTTGGTTACAATTATTACCTCAAATCACCGCCAAGAAAGATCGAATTATGGCTACCAAAATTGAACGAAAACAACGTCTTCGATTGATAGCTTATGAGTGCCAGAAACAATGGCACAAATATAGCAAACAAAAACATAGAATAACCATGCAAGAGCCAATTAATATGAATACTGTTGTTAATAAGAACATCCAACCATTTTCAAGTCAGAGTGATGTCTTGTCAGTTACAGTCAAGTCCCAATTAGATTCATCGACCATGGCTTAATTAAGCTCGCTAAAGTGATTCAAATCAAATAGATTTTTAAAATTAGTTCCTGATCGTCCAGGAAATTGTCCCTAACTTGATTCTAAATGGTAGACAGACTAAAAATGTTTTACTTATAATATCGAGCTTACGATTGACTTATCAACATGACATTTCTTTTACTCTGACTTTGCTTGTTTAGATAATCTTATTTATCTATATCTCAATCATGGTTCTGTGGTAAATTCACTTCTTGCTAATTTTCATATAATCAATCATTATAAATATATGCATAAATATTAATTTTGTTTACTTTTCTATTAATATGATTATTACTATGATATTTGATAATAAAAGCGTCATTTTTTCAAATGAAAGTGATAAAACATCAATTGAATTTTTTTTTTTGTCCAACAACAAAATATATTGAAAAAAATCGATTCGATTCGCAGATAAAATCAATGGCAAACATCAATTTAATAAAATAATTTTTGTTTTTTCATGTTTTATCAAAATTATAAACAAGAGATGGCAATGCAATAGAAAATTGGTGGAGAGGTCTTATAGATAATGCAACAAGTAAAACTGATTGCATTAAATCAAAACAAATCATTTATACTCAAAAAATCATGTCATCAACAAACCAAACAAATCAAACATCTTTAAAAGTTAAATTGTTAAAAGCTCAAAAATGGTACAGTCGATTCTTTGCGGTTTACAATTTAATAAAATCGATTGAAAAAGATTACACCAATTACAATGAATTGAAAGAGGCAATTCATTTTATTGAAAAATCAATCATAGATCTCGAAAATCATCTTTCCCAAATCGAAGACGATGACAATAATGAAAATTATAAAGAAGAAGTGATAATAATCATTCAGGATTTAAAAAATAGACGACAAAATCTGATAGAACAAAAAACTCTATTTCCCAAAGAAACGGCAGAAGTTGCTGCTAAATATTCTGTAAGTGCTTTGTGTGGAACTTTGGCATCTGGCGTTGTAATGTCGACTCCATCAAGTTTGGGCATTTGGGCTGGTACTATGGTTGCTGCAACAATTGGAGAAAAATTAGCTTGCAAAACTTTTAATTTTTGCTATAATTCTTTAAAAAGGAGAAAAAGCATTTGAAATTATTTATAAATGATTTTAAGAATTTTTAATTTCAATATTTTATTCATTTTTAAAATTTTCTTTACATTCATTGTGATTTTTTTAAAACATTTTATTTTTTAAAATAATTCCATGTCTTCCGGATATGTAGCGATAACGTAATTTGTTGCAAATAAATCTTATGTATAGAACGTATATGTGTAATTAAAAATCAGACTGTGCATGTTTGTAGCAAATGTAACAATTGCAATAAGCATTTTGATTGTTTTACAAAAAAAATATAAATTTATACAAACATATCATATCTCAACATAAAATGTTGGGGGGATCCTTATTATTGGAAAATTTAACCTAAATAATTAAATGAGATTTTAAAAATTTTTTGATAATATCGATTTGTGGATATATTAAACATTAATCATCGTCATAAGATCTGTGATTGTATATTGCAATATATTAATTGTTGAAACTGATAGGAATAATGATTAACTTATTTCAAATTTTGTTTGTCGCCATTTTCTTAGCCAGAAATTCATTTTCATATAGATTAGAAAACCTAGATGATTCTGTTCGAATTATTGGTGGTGAAGATGCTCGACCACATCAATTTCCGTGGATGGTATATATGAAATTGTATCATATTCCATTACATGAATGGCAAAAATCAATGACAAATGTATGCGATGGTACTCTTATCAATAATCGATGGATAATTTCGGCAGCCCATTGTTTCGAACCAAATGGTTATAATTTAAGTCAAAATATCGTATTCTTAGGATCACACAATATCACAGAAATGGAGGAAAAAGGTCGAAAAGTTATCAAAGCAAAAAAGGTAAGAAAATCAACAATTGAGATAAAAACATAATTTTTAATCCGTCCACCCAGGCAATAATACACGAGCAATATGATCATTGGAATATAAAAAATGATATTGCTTTGGTCGAATTGTCTGAAATAATTGAATTTGATGAATACATATCTCCAATTCATATGCGAAATTCATATGATAATTTTGATCACGATCAATGTCTAACATTGGGATGGGGCAGAATCGGCGAACGTAATTTGGAAATTGAAATTTTTTTTTTGCTATTTTATTATTTTAATTTTTTTCAACAGATATGGAAAAATCCGATACATTAAAAAAAGTTCAACAAAGCTTACAAACGTTGGATGATTGTCGAAAATTCTATTCAGATTTGGATGATACACAAGTTTGTGCTGGTACTTTGAATCATGGACCTTGTACGGGCGATTCTGGTGGACCATTACAATGTTTGAACCAAAATCAATCATGGTTTCTCGAAGGAATTGTTTCATATGGATCATCCCATTATACAAAACCTGCTGTCTATACAAAAGTTTTGGCATATCTTGAATGGATAACTAAAACAATTGAAAATAATACAAATGTTCTAATTTAATGACATTATCATTATTGTCAACAACAATAAAAAGAATTCATGAAAATTCGTGATTCGAACAAATAACCAGCCATCAAAAAATGCGAGATCTTTATTTTTTTCGAAACCAATATCCAATGAATAATATATTATGGTAAAAAGATTAATGAACATTGGCTATTAATGAATGAAATGAAATTAACTAGAACATATTTTGCAAAAGGATATATTCATATGGATCAATATTCTGTGTGAATCAAGTGGAAATTAGTCAGTTACAAAATAAGATAGACATTTAGCAATTAGAATGATAAAATGAATGATCCGAAATGACAAAACGAGAAAAAAAACAGAATACCGATACGTCAAAACTTTGAAAATGATGGTGAATATATGAAAACGAATAGAAAAGATGTGATTTTTTTTTTGAATGATAATGATATTAATAATAAAGAGTGACTTCAATCGCACGATTTTCGATACGAATTCCATTCATTAAATCTACTGCTCTTTGTGCATCACGATCAGATCCGAAACGAACCAGAGCGGTGCCATGGCCTTTGATTTCAGCAAATCGAACTTCGCCGACTTCATTAAAACGATCACGAAGATTTTGCCAGCTAAAATTTGGAGGCAAATTTCTAACGAAAATTGTATCGATTCCGGATGTTCGATATTTATCATCACGATAATCGCCACGTTGATCGTAGGTAGAATAAGAACTGATGGGAGCATTAGGCGTTCCAGTATTAGCACTGTATGGAACTGAAGAAGTTGAAGGAGGCGGTGCCGTACCATAACTGGATGGCATCATTTGACTTGAATTTGGATATGGTGCAGCAGGCTGAGGGGTACCATTTCCATGTGGAACAACAGAAGTATAACCACTATGTCCATAACCGCTAGGAGTAGCACCTGAAATTGTATTTCCAGTTCCAGGAATATCAGTATTTGATGGAGGATAGCCAGTTGAAGAAGCCGAAGGTGTTGATGCTATTGTACCAGGAGGATTATTAGACAATTGTGCCAATGATTGAGTCAACGTAGGCAAATGGCCAGCTAAGTTGCTCAAGACGTTGATAGCTGCTGTTGCTGCTTGTGGCGTAACATTGGGCCCTTGTGGAGTAATCGGTGGCGGTCCAGGCAACGATTGACCTTGCATGCCTGGTGCAGGACTACTGACAATGCTTTTAGCAATATTCAATGGCTGACCATCGATACCAAGACCTTTGCCAATACTCTCAAGACCTCGTGGTAATTTAGCGGGCAAACCATCTTTACCAAATGATTCCTCATTGTCAAATTTGTCCAAGCGAACACTAAGAATTCGATCATAAAGTTTTTGATTGTTGAACATTGAGATTGCTTGAACTGCTTCGACAGGATGTTCGAATTCAACAACACCAAAACCTTTCGATTTTCCTTCATTGTCACAATACAATCGAACTTTGGTAATTTTTCCAGCTAATCCGAAAATGTCCTCGAGTTTACGTTCGCTAACTTTATAATCAAGATTAGCAACAAATACTCGATTTGTCAATGGACCTTTGATACCAAGCGAATTGAGAAACTGTGGACTCAAGCCATATGTCTGGTAAGGATTAGAACCAGAATCCGAACCATTTGAATATCGATCTTCATATCGATCTCTTCGTCTACTGCGATCACGTTCACGATCCTCTCGACCTGAAGAAAGAATTAATCGCCCGAAACGATCACGATCTATATCAAGGTCTTCTTTGACAACAAGTTCTCGACCTTTGTAATCAAAGCGATTGAGTACTTCAATAGCTTTTTTAGCAGAAGCTGAATCTTCAAATTCAACTAAACCACATCCACGAGGTTTCCCTTCTTCATTTTCGAATAGCTGACAAAAACGAACATTGCCAACTTTATCGCGAAATAAATCTTTGAGCTCACCCCACTTTACATCAAAAGGAATATTAGCAACATAAACACGTCGATGAATTTTGTTTGAACGATCTTCACGCGAGCGAATTGGTGAGCGAGAACGACGACGCGAACGACTACGATCACGATCACGACGACCACCGCTTCGACCAGAATCTTTTGAACGGCTAGAATCATTGCTGTTTTTGGGCAAATCATTGTTCGAAGTATTTTGGTCAATTCTCTTCTCACCATTTTCGTTGGATTCTGCCTTAATACCGTTGTTGTCCATGATGAACTATGATTTTGAAACACAAAAAAAAATTGATCAATTTAACCGGCGAATAAACAAAAAAGCAAACAATAGAGCTTGTCGCAAGAGAGAACAATAATTGAGTTCGCGAGCATTGTTGAGTCAATATAAATGGAAAAAAGTTGCTCTATTTCGACATTAACGGTCGACTTTTGTCAATTAAGATTTTTAAAAGAATTTTTTTATTTTTTGTAATGGATTTTATAATTTAATGATTCTAATACGGAAAAACATCGTTCCAATGAATTTATAGCAGCTAATGATGTAGCTTTTAGGATTAATAAATCTTCGTCAGTATTTGAAACATTTTCAATGAGTTTTACTATGGTATCATAATGATCTTTGGCCTGTAGTCGAAAAAAATGTAATATTTTGATCAATTCGATTTGAAGAAATAACATTGATTAAAAGAAACATACCACTAATAACTGATTTTGTACACCATCAAAAGAGCTCAACAAATCTGATGTTAATGGGGAATTGGCAACCATTTGATTATTATTGTTGTTCGGTTTGACAGAATTTATGGATAAATTTTTTTGTACTTTATTCTCCTGTAATTGCACGGCCAAACGTAGATTATCTACCCATTTTTGTCTATCTTTTGCATTGGCTGCTTTTAATTTATAAACTTCTCCATAAGCAGAATGAACGGAAAATGTTTGTGAATCTTCATCGGATGGCATCACTTGACAATTGGCCAATTGAAAACAGCCTCTAAGTTTATGTCTATCTTTAGACTAATAATAATATAAATAATTAAAATTAAATATAAAATTATGATTTTTATTCACCGCATAATATTCAAGCACGCCTCGGGCAGAATTGATGACAAACCAACGATATTGCCAACCTTTAACCACATTTGTATATTTACACAATTGTCCTTCAAAAATTTTAGATTCTTTTTCATCAAATTCCTATGAAAATTTTTTTTAAGGAATTCAATTGAAACCAAATGAGTATTAATACTTGTTTCATGTTAATTACAATATAATCAATACCTTTGCACGTAACATTACTGAACAAAGATGATCCAATTCTTGTGATGTTAATTTAGTATCACTTGATAATTCTTGGATAGATTCATTTGTTCTATCCTTTATTGATGAGGTCTTTTTATGGCTGTTGATTGATTCGATTTTTTGCTGATCTATTGACATAGCATTTAATTTTTACTTAAATTTCAATGAGATATGATGGGAGTAATGATCAGAAACAGAAAATAATTATATCGGTACAAAAGAATATGTATAATCTTTTTTTTATCAAATGATGAATTTATGCCTCACTTGAACAAATGCGCCATCTATCAATAAAATTCAAACTTTAATATGTTTAGAAATATGTGTATAAAAAAATTTATTCATTTTAATATAACAAATTGATTAGAAAAAAATTCATTTCAAAAAAAAAAATTAACAATTTTTAATCGATTGATTTAAAGTGAATTGTTGGATATTGATTGGCAGGATTTTCCACACGAATAACATTGCCTCCACCGTAAACAAAGGGCTGTGATCTAAAAGATGGATCATTATTTCTAATCGATTTGATGTTTGATAATTTTGATTGAATGTTGACTATTGGCGTTATATTCATAGTGTTATTATAATCACTATAGATGGGTGGAAAAACTCCATCCATAACTCTTGATTGTGATGTTGGTGGCCGTGGTGGTGGTGGGATTGGTAATGATGTATGATGTTCAATTTGTTTATCAATAAATTCATCATGAACATTGTTCGATCGATTATGATGATGACGATGTTGGTTGTATCTATCGGTCTTTCGTAATTTTCTAACGATGCAAAAAAAACAATACTTAAAATACTTGAAATTATTTCATTGATTTCACATTACCGTTTGAATAACAACATGATGATGGCACAAATAATTACTAAAGTAGAAATAATTAATATAATTTTGCAGACAGTTTGAAAAAAATCTCCTACATTCCCATACAATGAAATGCCAAGTTTTCATATTAAAATCTTAAATTAAAATTATATTTTTATAAATACCGGAAAAATTGAATGTCGATGAGATACATTCAGATATGTTGACCATAGGTATATTATAATTGGATAAGTACAATATACAGGAATTATTTGTATTGGTAATCTCATCGATCAGGCTGCTATTGTTTAATGAATCGGTTTTTTCATTCGAATCATTATGGATTGAAAATTCGTTTAGTTGAACAACGAGAATTTTTTCTGTCGAACTTGTTGGTACCTCCAAATTTTGCTGAACATTCGAATCCAAATTCCAATCAGGTAATTCTATTTCAACTTTCATCGTTAAATTAGTCTGTCCAGGAACTGGAAAATTTTTTTTTTAAAATTATAATGTTGTTATAAATAATCCATAAATTATGACAATTACCAGTCGAACATGGCGTATCAATTAATAAAGGACATGCGCATATATATCCATGTGATCGAAAAAGACAAAGATGACTACATTGTCCATTTTGTTGGGCACACGGATTCGAATGTGGTATGTTTGGAACATCCGGATTTTCTTCCCAATAAAAATCTATTTTCTGTCTTGATTCCGAAACAGCTCTAATCTGTCTAATATTTTCAATATTATCGCTAATTAATTCATAATTGAAACCAGTCCAACGATTTGCCCTTTCGACAACCTTATGATAAAGATCCGACCAATAGATGTAATCACCTAATACTGTAATACTGAATGGTAATGTCAATCCAGAAGCAATTATGATTCGTCGTTGAGTACCATCGACAGTAGCCGTTTCGATTCGTTTCAACACTTCATCACTCCAATAAATACGAGGCATTCTATCATGATTTTCAATACCATCATCAACAGCCAATCCATTAACCAATCCAATATTTGAATCAATCAATTTGACTCGAGAACTACCATCTAAAAAAGCTTTTTTTGTGATAAAATTAATAAATAAAATAATAATAATCATAATGGAAACACAATTTGTATAGTATCAATCAAACCTCTTTCAATTTTTTGATTATTGCCACCATTGATCCAAAAAATAAAACCTGAATTAGGCATCACTTCAAGACATTTTGGTTCATCTAAATCAAGATCGATCAATATTTTTCGTGAAGAACCATCGATTCTTGCCACTTCGATTATATGTCGTTCTTGATCGCTCCAATAAATATTATCAGCAATCCAATCAACAGCAATGCTGGTTATTTTTTTAATATCACTATTGATAATAGTTATTATTTTCAATGAACTTGCTTCAGCCAATTGGCTTAGATTTTTTCCCGATACAATTTTCAATGATCGTATCTCATTAATGTTTGTGTCAACATAAAAAATTTGTCCATAACGATAATGAAAATCAAATGTTACCACATCAATTAGGTTATTGATTGGCAAATAAATATCGATCCAATCTTCTACATCTAATGACAGTCGTCTAATATTATTCTCACAGGCAATCAATATTTGTTCGCTTATTTCTGTATATCGCATTAAAAAAAACATGAATTTAGCATAAACGAAAAGTAAATTCTTAACATACAAATTACCTGATTTACAAGTTGTCAAATCATCCAACAAAACAACACCCGAAGGGCAGTGACAAGAATAACCAGGATCACTATTTAAAAGGCACAAATGTGAACAAGTATTATTTTCACGACATATTGTTTTCATGTGATGATTATTGAAAAGTATCGATAAATCCGGAACCTTGTTTACGGCAACAATATCAACCAGATTGTTTAATGATTTTGAAACCATCTCCATTTTAGAATTCGTTTGTACAATTACATATGAATCATGATCCGAACTTAAATATAGTCGATTAACCGATTTTGTTTGCCAATCAGTCCAATAAACATAATCATCCAAGATGGTAATACCGTATGGTGAAGGCAAATCTTTGATTAAGATACCCCGATTACTGCCATTCAAATCTACAATTTCGATCGTATGAGTTTTCGAATCTGTCCAAATGATTCGACCATTTTTGGTAAAAGTAATTCCATTTGGCCAGCCGAGATTTTCATTTACAATTAGAGCTCTCCGTTTTCCGTCCATGTCAGCACGTTCGATTCGTACTTGTGATCCCCAATCTGCCCAAACCATATGACCACTTTTACTATTGAGAGCGATAGCACGAGGAGAATCAAGATCTTTACTCAGCAAAACTTTTCGAAACGTTCCATCTAAATTAGCCACTTCGATTCGTTTTCGTCCGGCATCAGTCCAATAAATTTTATTACCAACATTATCGATAGCCAGACCATTAACGCCGCTTAGACCATAATTGAGTATTTTTTGAATTTCTCCACCCAGAATATTCGATTTATAAATGACATTTTCATTAGTATCCGACCAGTAAACCGTATTGGATTGAAAATGGACATCTAAAACAAAAGCGTTTAATAGTCTTTGATTGAGTGGTAGTCGAACGTCAAAACGATATTCTGTATCAAGGGATATACGTTTAATATCGTTACGTGTCGTCATTATTAGATATTTTTGCATATCTGATGCACAAGTAGTGTTATCGGACAATAACCGTATTCCGATGGGACAAAGACATTTATAGCCAAGCTGTTCGGTCGACAAAACACATAAATGTGAACATTTAGATCTATGGCAAATATTTCGAATCGAGCTACGATAATCTTCTCTTGAGCTAGTATGATTGTATTGAAATATTATCAGATCCATTAGATTGTCAAGATTTTCGGACACAATGCTACTCATACGTCCGGTGATTTTATTTGCCTGTTGTATATTACGAAAATATAGATCTGACCAATAAACTAAATCATCTTTTATAGCTACAGCGAAAGGTTGACGAATATTCGGTGGATACAGAGCACGTCGTTCGGATCCATCTAAATATGTTGAACAGAATATTTTATAATGAAATGACTATAATTTTTCAATCAATTTGATAACCTAATACTCACCATAAAAAGAATATTCAATCCGAGATTTACTAGAATCTGTCCAATAAAGACGCTTACTGATAAAATCAATGGCCAATCCATGCGGTCTTGTTAGATTTGTCGAATGAATCTTCATACGAAACGAACCGTCCATTCCGGATCGTTCAATATTTGCTGTGTGATTATTCCATTGAGACCAAAACATTAGAGAAGTTTGTGGGTCTAAAACAATATCCCGAGGCTGGTCTAATGATCGCCAAATAACAAGTGAACGAAATGAGCCATCGGTTCTTGACACTTCGATCACATTACGTCCAGTGTCAACCCAATAAATATTTTTTGTTATCCAATCATAAGCAATTCCTGAAGGCGCTTCCAGTGAAGAACTAATAATGACTTGTTGGTGTTGGCCATTCCAATAAGCACTACTGATAGATTTATTAAGTAGATCGGCCCAAAATATGGTTGATGTTGACCAATCATAATCCATGGAAACAACAAAAGAGACACGAAGAATAGGGAGAACATAATCCTGATTAAAATCTTCATACGAATTATTTTGTTCAGTCATTAATTTACGCTTCGAAAGATTTATAGCTCGAATTTCATTTCGACGTGTAAACAACAACAATGAATCGGAATCTTTCTTGCATTTTTTGGTGTTCTGATCTTTGAAACTGAATCCAAATGGACAAAGGCAACTATAAGAATTATTGTTAGGCAAACAAATGTCTGAACAAGCATGTGATTGGCAAATATTGAATTCGATATCAGGCTGTCTTAATGGATGAAATACTTTGACATTAATATTCATTCGGTCATTAGTGGAATTGTCATGGCTTGTCTCTATCTTTGTTATAAGCTTTCCACTCAGTTTGTTGACAATATTAATTTTGGTTGATTTAAGACCAGTCCAATAAAGATTATCTTCAAATATAGTCAATGAAATAGGATATTGCACTTCATCATGCACTATCGTATAACGATTGTAACCATCCAAATTTGAACATTCAATCAAATTTTGTCTGATATCTATCCAATAAAGTTTGTTGGCTGGATAATCAATCGTAAGGCCAGTAGGGTTCATGAGCAAAGCACTTATAATAATTTGTCTGGCTGAACCATCCATAAAGGAACTTTCAATACGTACCGGTTGGCCCCAATCACTCCAATAGATGGCTTTCTTATCAGGATTTATGACAATCGATTTCGGTATTTCGACCGAATGAGCAAACATTACTTTACGATTTGAGCCATCCAAATTGCAGTATTCGATTCTTGAAGTACCAGAATCGGTCCAATAAATTCTATCATTGATCCAATCAACGGCAATACTATTCGGTTCAACAATGCCAATTTCTATTATGGGTTTAATATTATGTAGCATGATTGGCAATAATGGTAAAGGCAGCTGGTGATTGAAGGAAGAATAATTTGAAGCAATAAGATCTTTTGGATTGATCTCAACAGAGGCACTAAAAATTTTTCTCGATTTTTTACTAGTCCAAAAATAAAGATTTTTCTTATAGTGATAATCGTTGTAAATAAGTTCTGAACTCAATGAATCTATAGACGTTAAGTCTATCGATTCCATTTCAGAATGAAGTTTATTTAATGATAATGGCGCATAATTATTGACTAGGATTGTTGAATCTAGAATTAAAGCTCTTTTTTAAATAAATGATTGAACGAATTCACATAAAAAAATATGATTGATGAGAATGTATAAGTCGGCTTAGAAACATGTTTTGCATACCTCAAGTTAGTAAAATCGGCGACAAGCAATGTAGGCTCAGGCGCTTGAATTGCTTTACATCGTCGTTTATCGACCCGCAGTCGATATCCATTGGCACATGAACATTGGAATCCTGGAACAGAATTTTCACATTTTTGTGAACACAATTGTATGTTTGGCAGTGTCAACGCTTGATTACGATGATGTTGTTGATGATGATGATGATCAGTGAAGCGAAAATTGACATAATGTTCTAAATAATCGGCTCGAAGGCTACCGACAAAACATTCATCAATGTCAATACATGATCGTCCATCACTAGCTTTACGATAGCCTTCTTTACAGGCACAATAATGTCCGGTAGTGGTTGCAACACAAATATGTTGACATGGAAAGCCACTTTCACGACAAGCCATCATGTTTGCAATGCACGTCGAATTGGTATCTTCATCCGAACCATCCGGACAATTTGGAGCACCATCACAGACACTAGTTAAACTAATGCATGTTCCATCACGGCAACGGAAATTACCACTGGTGCATTCTAAATTATCTAAACATTCTTCTTCATCACTATTATCATAACAGTCTCTATCGCCATCACAACGAAGATTATCTTGAATACATTGGCCAGATCGACAACGGAATTCTTGTTTTGTACATGATTGACTTGCTATATAAATTTTATTAATATTGAATACAAAACAAAAAGCAAAAATTTAATCTATTATCTTTGCATTATCCAAAAACAAATACTAATGATTAAATAATACATACGACAATTAGATTCATCAGAAAAATCTTCACAATCAAAATCACCATCACAACGCCAATCCTGATGTATACATTGTCCATTATTGCATAGAAATTCGGTAACACGGCACTTAAAATGGCCATCTGTAATCGAAAAAAAATTGATGAAAACATAACAAAACGGAATTAGCATCATCCATTCCACTGGTTTAATTGTTTGTCAGCAAGTGTTTGTGTTTACACAATTAAGGAAATTTAATTTAGTCGATGTGAAAATGAATTTATTTTCTATCCCATTGAATGTTTGAATTAGAAAAACTGAATGTAGCTATACCACAAAATGGAAAAGATATTTTTTTTCGATTATTTTCATTATGTAATCTACATTTTGCATCCTTCGACAAGAATCACTGATTCATGATTATATAAAATAGAATCGAATAATGATAGTCGTTTATGTTAGTTTCAATCATCATCATTTTTTATATTTCTTGTTTTTTTTTGAACTATTTGGAATTTGTTTTTTTCAATTCGCAATCATCAATACACCACACACACACACACAAATAAATATTGATTGCTGTCCAATAATATGGATAGGAAATGATTAGAGTTTGAACAACAACAACAACAACCAAAAAGGTTCAGACGCTAATAGCTTTAATTTTTCTCTGGAGAACAATCATCATATCTGCAAATATTAGAAAAGGAGGGTGATAATAGAGTAATAGAGTTGAACTAGGAATATTATTTTTTTAGAAAACTAAGAATCTAAGAGCTTGTTGTTTTGTTTGTTTTGATTTGGATGAAACAAACTGCCAATAACAGAAATTTTTTTCCATTATATACCTATTCAAGTTTATTGATTAATAATTGATTAATTTTTTTTTCTTGCTATCGTTTTATTTTGTTCAATTTCAAATACACACATACACAAAGATAAACAACAAATATCAAATGATTCTTATTGATGTCTAATAATGACACAAATGTATAGAAAGAAAAAAAAAGACGACATAATAATAATAATAATAATGATAAATTTTAGTTTTCCGCAAGCGAAAAAATAAAAATAAAATTTGACATTAACTTCCGGCTAAATGATTTTCGATTTTATTGTGTGTGTGTGTTATTTTCGATTATTTACATTTACTTACCACAATTTTTTTCATCCGACCAATCACCACAATCATTATCATTGTCACAATGATATAGTTCGGAAATGCAAAGACCATTATGGCACATGAATTGTCCTGTAGGACATTTGGCTAAATGAACGCCAACAAAACCAATATCTTGTGTTTTATTATTATATTTTTCATTTAATATTGTTGTCGATGATACATATGTATTATCAATGATAATATTTGACATAGATTGTGTTATAATACCATGATGGCAATCGAATTCATCAGACATATCGATACAATCGGTTACATTATTACATTGATGAGTGATTGGAATACAATGACCAGATTGACAACGAAATTCGTCCGGTGAGCAAGCTAAAAGAATTTTGTTTATGACATCCATATTCAATTTTTCTTTAGATGTTTTATTTGTATTAATATAAAATGTTTACATACGATCAATGCATCGTTCATCACTTTGATCACCACAATCATCATAATGATCACAAAGCCATTCACTTGGTATACATCGTCCATTATCGCAACGTGTTTCGTTCTCAATATCACATTCTCGAGCCATACAATCGATTTCATCCGAATTATCACCTATAGTAATTATTTTAATATATTTTTTTTAAAAATAACATTAACTTATCACATACCACAGTCATCGAATTGATTGCAGAATAATTCTTTGCTGATACATTTTGATATGGTTAAACAACTAAATTCTGTGATTGATGAACAATTTGGTTTCACTATTATTAAAGATAAAATGAACAACAATTAATTAATTCTAATAATAATTTATAGTGAAAATTGTTATTTTTTCAAATCTCAGTAAAAAATTTGTTCCAATCGATTGATTCGTATTGAATATTCAGCATTTATTATAGAATGTTTCAAATAGAAAAATAAATAATTTATCAGAATATTTTTTGTTTTTGTTTTTGTTTTCATTCAAATAATTAGATCTAATCTCATTTAATGTTTATATATAATTCAAATCACGTTTTTCATATTCTTTTGAATATTATCAAATATTCCAGTAATGAATAAATGAATGAAAATTCAATGATTCAAATAAAATAACAAAATGTTGATGACAAATATTAGAATTTTCAGATTCTTGTTTCAGAATGACATTATTTATTTTTTTTAATACTATATTTTTTGTTTTGTTTCTGGTTTATTAAAGAATGATTGAAGAAGAAAAAGAAGACGAAAAAAATCTATTTTTATTATCATCATTATCATTATCGTTATTGTTATTGTCGAACGAACAAATCATTCATTACAATGCATAAAAGTAGAATTTTTTTTCTATTTTCGTTTTGATCTTGTTTCTGGAACGCATACTTGGAGTGAACGAGAAAAGATTAAAAAATATCAGTCTGTTGTTACGATGATTTTTAATATGATGAAAAAATATGGAGCACATCATTGTGTGTTGAAACATGATCAAATCACTGTTTGGAACAAAGACGAACAAGACAGTGGAAAACAGAGCAAGGAATAACAACAACAGCAACAAAAAGTTAGTTTCATGAATTTGTTGTCATTTGTTTTCGTTTGAAAGTTTTTATCGTTTTATTTTTTTCTACATCGTCATTGCAATGTTATTAATTACTTTGGCAAGATCATCATCACCAACCGAAAAAAGAAAATAAAAACAAAACACGATAATCATCATCATAGGCTTAAACTAAAACAATATAATTCAATATGAATATAGAATAAAATATGGAAATAAAAGGGGAATAGTGATGAATTTCATCACGACAATTTATTTTAATGATAATTTTGTTGTTATTATTAAACATTATACATGATTGTGTTAATTGTCAATGAATATGATACAGAATAAAATTTTCTATGTATTTTTATAAGTTGATGATAATGATGATGAAAATAAGATTGTTTTGGATTTCAGCTCACGTTTCAACAAAATGGGGCAAACAAACAAAACAAAAACAGGAAAAAAAATCATACAAACACCAAAGTATACTAATGTGTTTATTCTTATGTTCTGATGTTCGTGTTCAATAACATCGTCATTCTTTTTCATTTTTTTCATTCTCTCTAGTATGATGTTTAAAGTAATAAGAATTAGAATAAGTGGATATAAAAAACTAAAAGAATATTTTGTTCAAGAAGTAAAAAAATTTCAATGATAATGAATGGAACAAAAAAAAATTTCTCCATTTATTTTGATACGTTAAAATACTAAATGTTTTTCTTTTTTCAATGAAAAAAAATCCTTTGATATTCATTTTTCATCTGTTTCATAGGAAACAAAATAAACGCGGAAGAATTTTTGAAAATGACAAGTGTGTTCGTGTGTGTATGTGAAGTAGGATGAAAAAAAATTTGAATAAATTACATTAATTTGTTCATTTGATAATCGATGATTATAATTAACAAACAAGCATTATAATGAATTTGATCATATTCTGGATAGATTTTGTTTTTGTTTTCCAAATTTTCATTACATTAGACATGTAGACATAACACACACACAGACAATTCCAAATTTACTTTCTAATTAATTTTTGTTCTTTTGCCTACTGGTTTAATGATTTTAATGTTTAATTATTTGACCAGTTTTTGTTTGAAAAAAAGATTGTATATAAAAAACGGAAATTTCAAAAAAAAAGGTTTTCAGTATTTAATGATCATGAATAAATAATATAAATAACTAATGTATAATGTTTTATACATGGTTTAATTCAATTGAAATGTATATGTTTTCTGCAAAACAAATTCATACAATTCATAATCACTGTTGATTATGATGATTAAAGAGTTGGAAAAAGAGGATTTCTTGTTTTTATGATTCAAAAAAATATTCAAAAAAAAACAAACAATTATGGTTTTTCCATTTATGATTGTAAACATTTGAAAATAATGAATCTCAAATATTTTCATTCATTTATTCATTAAATGATATTTTGTTGTTGTTGTTGTTTCTTTTTTTTGATTACAAAGATCGATTAAATTCATTTATTCAGTGCCAAAAGATTGTTTTTTTTTTGTCAAATTTTTAACCATCTAATCGTATTTATAATCTATTGTTATATAGTATCTGTTTTCTTTCCTTTTTTGCATCAAATTTTTATGTTTGGATATGTGTCAAACATGATAACACCAACAACAAATTACTTTTATTCTATTTTTTTCATTATTCTTCTTCTTCTTCTTTTACACATACGCTCACTCATTCATGGGTATTCTTCATATGAAGCACAAAAAAACAAATATCGATTTTAATCGGCGATTAGATTGGCATTTTGCACTGATATTTTTTTCATAATAAAGAAATTACACAACACATAGAGACAGACAGAAACATACCATCAATGTTTGATGTTATGTAGATTGTATTTTTTCTTTTTCTTTTTTTTTTTTTTTTTTTGATTGCTGTATTGTTTTGGATTTTTTTTTTTTTTTTTTTTTTTTTTTTTTTTTTTTTTTTTTTTTTGTAAAAAGTAATTGCTATTTTTTTTTTATTTTGTAAAAGTAAATGCCTGATTCTTGTTCATGATTACCAAAAAAATACAGACATTGCTAAATTGCTATTGATCATGATTCTTTTTTTTTGCTTTTGACCGACAAAATTCTCATTTTATTATATGAGATACAAAATGATGAAATAAACTAAAGAAAATATCAACATCAGTAAAAGTTTATTTTTATAAAATGTCAATTTGTTGAATTCAAAATATCTTGAAAGAAAAACATGTTTTGAATTTAGTTTGAATAAAATAAAATGAACAAATAAACAAACAACAACAACAAAAATCAACGGATATTATTAATGTTGAAACATTCAATATTATATTAGGATCTTGTACAATCTATAATAATATATTGATAGTCAATTCTGAAGGTTTTATTTCATCTTTCTTTATTTTGTTTTGACTGCAAACACATTTCTTTTCCTTTTTTTTGTTACGAATCTTCATCTCTCTCTCTCACTTTCTAATATCCTGAATTCAAATATGATTATTGTTTTGATAAGGAGAAAAAAATTACGTTTACACATACCGCATCCAATTTCATCGGACGAATCCGGACAATCAGGTTCACCATCACATTGCCAACTCAGCGGAATACATGTACAATTTGTTGAAAATGTTGTTGATGATGATGGTGTTGAAATGGAATGCCTTCGTTGTTTGTCGATGATTGTCGTTTTATTATTCGTTTCATTCTTATTCTCATCATTAGTAGATTGTTTCACCTTATTATCATTATTATTGTTGTTGTTGTTTGAATAAAAAGAATTAACAATTTTCAAAATTTTTTTCTCATTATAAAATAAATTGTTTTACCATATTGTTTAACGGATGAAATGATGAATGCAATTGTCTTGAATCTTTAAATGAATTTTCATTTTGATGATCATCATATCGAACATCGTCGTCATCATTATTATTATTGGAAATTTTATCAATTTTTAGTTCATTATGATCAATGTTACTAATATTTTTATACAATGTTTCATTTTTTATCGATAATAAATACGATGAAGTAATTATTGTGCTTCCACAAGCAAAAGTATCCGATCCACAAAGGCTACAAAGATGATTATTATTACCAATATTATTGATACCAATAATGTTTCTTCGAACATGACCAACCGAATCTTCATTATCTAGAAAATTCAATAAATAAAAGACAATATGACAAATGAAAATAATTAAATAAATGGTATTTTTTTACACGATGAACAGTTGTGTTATGGTAGTTCTATTTGTATTTATTTTCATTGTTGCCATTGTTTTTTCTTTTGGAAAAAAATTTCATGCAAAAAAATCAAAAATTCTTGCAACTCCAAAAACAGTAATAAAAATGAATTTATACAATCACGAAACACAGGAATGAGAAAATAATCGATTTTATTTTGTTATTTGGATTAATGGTGACCACAAATATCATAGGTTTTTTTTTGCCAGGACCACAAAAAAACATATCGAAACAAGATCTTAATTCAACAACATTATATAAACGACGACAACAACAACCGAAAAAAATCGATGTTGAACAGAATTTTAATTCAACAACCAAAACCAAAAACGAAAAGAATATTTTCACGCTATTTCTGCTGTCAAGGAAAAATATGATGACATTCAATGTATGTTTGTATGTATGTTCCCAAAAAAAAAACATTGATGAAAAAGAAAATATTGACAAAAATCTCCTGCGGTTTCCCTATCTCAGTTTGTTTGTTTGTGTGTGTGTATTGAATTCTCAATTCAACAATCATATGGGAATGAGAATTTTTTTTTCGTATCATTTTTATATGTTTTGTATTTAAAAGGGATAAAGAGGGGTTTAAATTATTATCATCATAATAATCATTATTTTTTTTTTTGCTGTTGTCGTTGTTGAGATTTACAACAAAAAAAAAAGAATAATGATGAAGAGTTTTTTTATATAATAAAATTTCTTTATCATTATTCTTTAAATAATGTTTTTTTTCATTTGATTATCATTATATTAAACTGTTCTTCATTTTTTGTTGAATAATTTAAACAAATTTCATAATAATGTTTAAAAATGATGTATGATATACTCATCATTTGTAAAGTGGATAAA